TTTTACCTTTCTCTTGTACAAGTCAAAATGGCGTCCGTTGTTCTTCGAAACCCTAGCTCGAAGCGTCTTGTTCCATTCTCTTCCCAGATCTACTCTCGTTGCGGTGCTTCTATTACTTCCTCTTACTCGATCTCTCATTCTATCGGTGGAGATGATCTCTCTTCCTCTACCTTGGGAACCTCTTCCTTGTGGAGATCCATGGCCACTTTTACTCGAAAGTTAGTTTTCTTTCCATTTCTTGCTTCTTTTTCGCTCTTCAGATCGGAAAGTTGGAAAATTGGTTGGTGGGTGACTCTGATTGTGATTGGTGTTGATTCTCTGCTTATGTTAATCTATGTAATTGCTCTTGTGGCAGTAAACCTCATGTAAATGTTGGAACTATTGGGCATGTTGATCATGGAAAGACCACTTTAACTGCTGCAATCACAAAGGTGCTTCTTTTTTTGTATACTGGTTATATGAAACTTCCAAAATTATTGTCAAAGAACCTGTTTTTTTAAGTTGATATTGTGATCCTACTAATGTTTTAGGTTCTTGCTGAGGAGGGCAAAGCTAAAGCTATTGCCTTTGATGAAATTGATAAAGCTCCTGAAGAGAAGAAGAGAGGAATTACTATTGCCACGGTCTGTGTTATCTCCTGTCTCCTAATTTGTTTCCAAGCCTATATTTGTACTTGATGTTACTTGTTTCTGTAGGCTCATGTGGAGTATGAAACTGCCAAGCGTCACTATGCTCATGTGGATTGCCCTGGGCACGCTGATTATGTTAAAGTAAGATGCCAATAATCAGATTCTAGGAACTAAACGTATACTGGTGTATTTCATTTTAAACATGACATGTTACACATTTTCTCGAAACTCTAACTCCAATTTGGTGATCGGTTTTGAATTATGACTAGAACGGTTATTCTCTAGGGATGCATCATAATCTAGTATATGTGAATTGTTTAGTGGAGTAACATGCATCAGTTATGGCTTTCCTTAGAAATACTGTGATAAACAGTTTAGCCTCACTGCTTTAGTTGCTAACTTTCAGAATATGATTACTGGAGCGGCACAAATGGATGGTGGAATTCTTGTGGTTTCAGGACCAGATGGACCCATGCCGCAGACAAAGGAACATATACTACTTGCTCGCCAGGTTTTCATTATTAAACTATGTACACTTGAAGCTAATCAGTTGAGTTAGGTTGTTTACCACAATTTGAATTATGCAATGTTCCACAGGTTGGTGTTCCATCACTTGTGTGCTTCTTGAACAAAGTTGATGTGGTGGATGATCCTGAGCTGTTGGAGCTTGTCGAGATGGAACTACGAGGTTTGTAGATTTTTTAATCTCACAAAATTTCGTTCTTTCAGCATACGAAGTAAGTACAAGCTTTCTGACATCAACTCTTGTCACTATACAGAACTCCTCAGCTTCTACAAGTTTCCTGGGGATGATATTCCCATCATCCGAGGATCTGCTCTGTCCGCATTACAGGGCACCAATGATGAAATTGGAAGGCAAGCTATATTAAAGCTAATGGATGCTGTTGATGAATACATACCTGACCCTGTTCGCGTGCTTGACAAGGCTTTCTTGATGCCAATTGAAGATGTTTTCTCAATTCAAGTACACTAGTCTACATCCTTGTTGTTTTCTGATTCACTTTTTAAAAAAAATCAGGTCTGATACTTTTCTTTTTTCTTGAAGGGACGTGGAACTGTTGCAACCGGTCGTATTGAACAGGGAACCATTAAAGTGGGTGAAGAAGTTGAGATATTGGGTTTACGTGAGGTGAGTGTGCATAAATATTGTGTTTCTAAATTGGTGATTACTTGGGGTTATAAAATTAAGCATTTTCTTTAGCATAACTGTGAGATTTGATTTTCAGGGGCTTCCACTGAAATCGACTGTAACTGGGGTTGAGATGTTCAAGAAGATTTTGGATAATGGACAGGTAAAGCCAATATCAAGAGATTGCAAAGATAAGTTCTGGGCATGTATTGTAAGATACTGATTAAACCTTGGCTTCTATTATGCTAGGCTGGTGACAATGTAGGACTTCTTCTGCGGGGGCTAAAGAGAGAAGACATTCAGCGTGGAATGGTAATCTTATGACTACTGGATAATTGAATAATAAGACCAACACAGCAAACCAAGCTTTACATCAGTTTTTAATTTTCACTTCGGTTGGTTATTAGGTGATTGCTAAGCCTGGTTCGTGCAAGACGTACAAGAAGTTTGAAGCAGAGATATACGTGCTCACAAAGGACGAAGGAGGACGTCACACTGCTTTTTTCTCCAACTACAGGCCTCAGTTTTACTTGAGGACTGCAGATATCACTGGAAAAGTAGAACTACCCGAGAATGTGAAGATGGTCATGCCCGGTGACAATGTAACTGCAGTTTTTGAGCTAATCATGCCTGTCCCACTCGAAACAGGTAAAACAATCTTAGGGACATTCTTTCTTGGTGGTTCAACAAGTTTTTGATGATTTCTGATCGTATTCACTTTTTTCTTGTGCAACAGGGCAAAGATTTGCCTTGAGGGAAGGAGGTAGAACAGTTGGAGCTGGTGTTGTGTCAAAAGTGATGAGCTAAAGTACTCAAAAGCACATTCTTCTCCTTTGTCAAGCTTTTTTTTTTTCTCTAGGAATCCATCAATTATGAGATTTTTTTTTTTACTGCTTTGAGATTTCGGGTAGATCAAGTAACAGTGTTTTTGGGTCAAAACTTGGGCCTTACAAAACTAATAAATACATTGGAACTTTTCCTTCTTTTTTTTTTCAATTCCTTTTTATCGCCATGTTTCGTAATCGTATATAGTTATTCCTCATTTTGGTGATACATGGATTTCATATGGATCCGAAGGAGTCACAAATTTTTTTTTTTTTGTCGTCTAGATTTATTATTAATTGCAAATTATAAGAACTGTTACATAGACGATTCTACAACTGACAATTCCTTCCGACCCTTACTAGATTCACGACAGACTACACTTCCTTCTTCGTAATCTTGATGAATACCTTCAATGATCCACGACCTCGCTACACTTCCTTCTCTGCGTAGAATCCTGGCGAACGGCTATAATTGTACATCGCTGGAGATCTCTTGCACACTTGCATCCATTAATCTGCAAATTTGTTAATAAATCGCAATACCTGGGACTCGAACTCCAGACTTTTTAGTGTAGAAGCATTAATCAACCCTTGGTCAACCAATGAGCCAAAGGGGCTTCCACGAAGGAGTCACAAATTCAATACTAATATCTACAACTTTTGCAGTTGACGCTATACAAATGTGATCAAGTAACTTTTAAAAAAAATTCTTTTTCAAAGACTTTAATTTTTGGTTTATTTTCCATTTGTTTAGTTAATAATTTGTGTCTTGGAGTGCTACAATTTGTTTTTAATTACGAATGGTAGCTAGTTTTTCAAATTTGTGGAGCCAAGTTTTATATTGTGAAACTCAATTATTAGAATTGACGTACATGCAAATTATTAAAGTGTAAAAAATATATATTTGAAGAATCATAGATATAAGAAATCAAATAAAAGGAGTTATTTATATACTCGCTCCAGGGAAATTTGTATATTTAGGAGTGTGGTGGACTTGGCCTACGGAGATTGGAACAAAGTTTTGGCTTTGAAATTGATTTGGTTACTTTTCTCTGCTGCGGGTTCGTTATGGGTTTCTTGGGTGAGGATCAATCTTATTAGAAACAGAAACTTCTGGGAACTGAACCCTTCTACTTCTGGCAGTTGGTTTTGGCGACAACTGTGCAAACTTAGGCCGTTGGCCAGGCCTTTTCTGGTTTGCGACATAGGCTCTAGGATCACAGCGAGCTTCTGGCACGACAACTGGACTGGACTGGACTGGACTGGACTGGACTGGGTCCCCTTATCGAGTTGACTGGAATAAATGGCCCTAGATCTGTGGGGCTGCCTATTAATGCTGTTGTGCGTGATGGAAGCCGTCTACTGTTTTCTCCTCGGCGAAGACGTGGCTTGCGCTAAATCCTAATGGAATAACTGTTCCTTGGCATAATTCTGTGTGGTTTAAAGATAGGGTTCCAAAACATGCCTTTATTTGTTGGGTTGTTGCTTGGAATCGATTACATACGAGGGATAGATTGTCAAGATGGGGTTTGAATATTCCAACCGTGTGTGTGCTTGTGATGAATCTCGGGACCATCTGTTTTTCGAATGCGATTTCAGTGGTGAAATATGGAGATTCTTCACGTCAAGGGCGGGGCTCTTTCCTCCTAATCTGTTTTCGGAAGCTCTTCTCTGGTTAAAGAATTCTACTACTTCCAGGAATCTCTCTCTTATCATCAAGCTTATCTTTCAGGCCTCCATCTACCTTATTTGGAGAGAGAGAGGAATGAGCGGATTCATGATAATAGCTCGAGAACTCCTCAGCAGATCATTAAAGAGATACAAGTGATTCTCAGAGCGCGATTGGATCCTATTTCTAGGGCTCAATCCTCTATTCCTCTAGGTTCTTCCCTGCTGGTTACTTGGTTTGCTTTGTTTCAGGATCCTTAATGGCGTCAACTGAGTTTGTGCTTCCCTGCTAGGATCTGGCCAAGGTATTTCAGAGTTGGGCTTTTGCTTTGCCTTAGTCTCTATGTTTTTTCTTGTCCTGGACCTTGTGGTCTTTTTTGGGCCTAAGTGCCTTGTATGTTCTTTCTGTTTTATCTGTTGGGCCATGTGGCCGTCATGGGCCTTAGGGCTATGTATGTTTGTGTTTTTTAATGGAAATTAAGTATATTTAGGAACTTTGATTCTTATTTCATTCTCTTCACACGATTAAAGTTTCATGGGTTTTACTTTACCATGTTCAAACCGAAGAACATCATCATCATTGTTGAGTGACTTGATCGAAAAGCTACTGAAGAAATATGAGTTTTTTTTAGGTTTTAATTTGCCACAGGTTGGTGTTCCATCACTTTGTGAGCTTCTTGAACAAAATTGATATGGTGGAGAAAGAAGAAATGTTGGAGCTTGTAGAAATGGAACAAACGCATTCTTGCAAAACATTTATTCTCTTCAAGATTCGTCACCTCTTAATCATTAGGTTCTAACAACACAATATCATATTCAGTTCTTCACATTTACAGCTCAGTACTAAACAAGTTTGTCATTTACAAAACGACCTTTTAGAAGCTTTCCATCGAGTAGTAAATCAAGATCTTTACCTCTCACCGCGAGTTCTCAACATGCAAACCTAAGTGCAAACACCGCGAGCACAGTGCCAGCTCTGTAGTAAACCTCCTTGATACTTTTCTCCACACTGTTTATGATTTCGTCATCCTTCAAACTTGAACAGGGTTTGTTCGCTTTCCTATTGACATGAACAATCACTTCCCTGAGTCTATTCACAGCCCAAGACAGTATTACCAAACTCAAACCAAGCCCAGTGTCAAAGAACTTGTTTGCGCAAAAGGGTACACGCCTTGAAGCAAGGCTACAGACGACAGAGAAAAGCACAGCGATTCCAGTTCCAGCAACAGTGACAGAGAACTGAGTCAGAAGCTCTGAGAGCTCTCCACATGATTTCTGTAAAGAGAGTACTGTTGAGTGTTTGTGTTGATGATCATTGCCTATCATTAAAGACAGAAGGCTCTCGTAAGCGTGGAGATGATTTCTTTTGTATAGGTCCCTCTCTTTGGATTTTTGCTTCGTGTTGTGTTTCCTTGGTGACTTGAGCCTGGTTTTCTCAGGACTAGTTCAAATAAAGAAAGGAATACGAATATGAGAACACTAACAACACAAAAGTAAGTAGTTACAGAAGCAAGTAAAGATGAGATTAGATTACCTTTTCAAAGGTGCTACTGTAACTGCTTTCAGCTTAGCTGGTGTTAATACTTCACTTTCAAACCTGCTTAAAAGAAATAGCGAAAGCTTTTAACACCGAGAAATGAAACGCACACAAACGAACTTAAAGTCTGTGCAATAGATTTTACCTCTGAAAGTGTGGGATAAGCGGTGAGAGCTGTCTCCATTTTGTTGAATTCCTTGATAAATTGAACTCAGAAGCAATAGAAAGTAGATCATTCAACTCACGATTGCTACTTGAAGAGAACAGAACGTGACCATTCGATCGCACAGAGAACTCTGGATTATCCATCATATCCCTAACGAGATCCAAAACCGGTTTCCCTAATTCTTGATTCAAGTAAAGAACAGAGGAAGTATCACATGCTCGTAGCTGAGAACTGGATTTCATAGCCTCTAATTCCATCAATTCATTTAACAGAGACATATTGAATCCTTTTTCCTTGAACTCCTCTGACTGAGACAGAAGAAATTCCATCACCTTTTCTTGTCTCGCAGACTTATCAGCGATTCCAAAGCTTAAAACCAGCGATTCTGGTGCCGTCTCTGCATTAACCATAAATCAAGTTCATGTAAATTAGATTACCATGAACTACCATTAAGCAATTTGATAAATCAGAAGCAATTGAGATTACCATGAACATCCATGAGCAGAGGTTTCATCATGGCTGAATCAATCTCCACGAATTGGCTAAATGAAGAAACAGGTTTCCATGGTTCCAAGTCTGGATTCAAATTGAAGGAGCTTGCAGGTATGATCTCTTGTCTTGCTCCGGGATTCACAAGATGAAACCGGCTATTCTGCTGCTTCATTCATCCACAATAACAGAATCAAAACAAGAGCCATCGAATCCAACAAAACGGAGACGCAAAAAGGCAAATGAAAGATGCTAACTTTACATGAACCCAGATAAATTGAACCATTCAAATCATCAAATCCAACAATATGTAGACGAAAGACACCAATTTTACACGAACCCAGATAAACTGAATCATTCAAGTCATCGAATCCAAGAAGACGTAGACGAAAGACACCAATTTTACTCGAACCTAGATAACTGAAGCAACCAAATGATGAGTCTGAAGAAAAAAAATTGGTTACCTTGATGATTTCGGTGTTACAGAGGTCTTGAGGAAGACCAAGGCCAGGAATTGAATAGCCATGAGAAGTCATGAAGCAAAGCTTGATCATTTTTGTTTGTTGAAGATGAAGAGAAAGAAACAAAGTTGAATCCTTTCGAAGAAAACTTGGTTCTTCTCTTCTCTTGTTCGTCAAAAATACATGGGGTAAAGAAGAAGAAGAAACAAAGCTTATCGCTAAGACTTCACCTACGCCGCAGAAATGAGATTTAAGAATCTTCTGGATTTTGGCTGGGACCGAAGAAGAAGAAGACACTTGAATTCTTTAGATTTTTTTCAATTACCAAACTAAACCCGACTCTATGTCGACCCAAAGAAACAAATTACAAAACTTTGACCCCAAGTATGTATGTCGACTAATTATTATACCCAAGTATTTCGTATTTATAAAAACAATATAAGAAATTATTTCCCATATTTATCTACACTTTTTTATTTATACAAAACTAAATTAGGCAAAAAAAATATTAAATGAAGAAAATAATTTTTGTGGTAGTTTTGAAGGTTGAAAGTTTAGTTTTAAACTTTTAATTTTGTGGTCTTTTTGGAGTTGTAGTTTTGGAAAATAAAACTGATAATGGTATTTTTGGAAAAATTTAGAACCTTTGACAAAGCTTTAACTAAATAATACACAGACCAAGAGCAAGTCGTGAACAATTACATATCCAAAGGACCCAATTAATTTACCCCAACAACATCTACAACAATGACACTTACAACAGCATGAAACCGTTACAACATCTCAGTAAGACAGCGTGCGCGCTACATTAACCTAGGAGAGCCAGTGTTGGCTACAGGAGTGGCTGTAGCAGAGCTACTAGCTTCTGAGTTGTATCGGGTCGTACCTTGAGAAGTCCTCTTGGTCCGTACAAGAGGATTGCTTTCCTCCTCATCGACTGCTCGTGGTCGGTCAAAATCATTGCCTTTGAAAACCGGATGCACGTAAGCCTCTTTCAGATATTCCTTGAGGTTTAGATTCGGTTCAGTCGCTTTTTCTAGTGTATCCTTCACCATTGCTTCCTGTTAATATATTCAATCCCAAATAATCAGTTGAAACACTTGTATAAAAGTCTTTCTTTTTTTGCTGCAAGAGGTTTTGCACTCATCACCTGTAAGGGAAATTTTGAGAAGGCCGATTCAAACCGTCCTGCGCAGTATCTGTAAAACCAAAAGGTTAAGATAGGCTGAGGGAGAAGCAGAGCTGTTACTTTTGCAAATTTCTTTGTGCTGAGCAAACCCATCATCAGAAGCTGTGATATTATTAAACATATGATCAAACGTCTATGCACGTCTGGCCAGTATCTAGCCCCACTCTCATATTTCTGGTCGTAGACATTTATAACCTTGCAACAGTAGATAACACATAATGACGTAAATGCATATCTTGCTTTAGAAGAGTACTAATGATATTTTTAGCTTTTAAGGTACCTGATGTCGGAAAACAACGTAGGCGAAAGCAAAGAAGACGATAATAAATGGAAGAAGAATTGGCGCAACAGCAGCGTATACAAGGCCTAGCAAGAAATAGAACTGAATCCGTGGTTCAGATGTTGCAAAGTCCAGATGTCCTGGATCCATTGCTTGCTGCCTGTCTTGTTCTGTCTTAACCAAAAACGTGTTTTTCAGATGAAAAATGACTAATGGAACCACTCTGAGTATCTCAGCTGCAATGCCAGCCCAACCATCCACCATGATATAAGTGATGAAAAATGTGGCCTTCATTGGGATTGACACACCAACTGTTTTCGGGATCCTAAGTAAAGAGAGAAAGAAGTGGAGATCAATAAATAGTTGTGCATGTGTTATCAGGTGGGAAATTTGACACAAATGGGAATATCTCACCCAAGTACTTACTCGGTTGGTGGTTGCTCGAGGAAAGATTTAAGCTGCTGAAATGCTGTCCCGGTAATGATGCTTCCAAGAAAGACATTGACAATAATGAACCAGAAATACTTTTCAGCTGATCTTCTATCTAAATAGGACAGCGATGTATATCCTTCAATTTGTGACATTGTCATCAGAATAGTCGGAAGTATGATGAGAAAAATCTTTAACGCTATTCCTGGAAGAAACCCTTGGATTACAGACTTTACAGTCTTCCTGCATATGAACAAAAAACGAATAACATAAGTGAATAAATATTAAGCAATGGATAAATGAATGGCATGAGCGATCAAGTTCCAAGGCAACAGTCAAGAATAAATTTCTGTTTATCATACAGAAATGGGGACTAACATTTCTATTACAGGCTTTAAGAAAGGGAGAACTTTTTGGATCCCTTCAAGGTTTGCAAGAGACTGAACAAATGCTATAGGAATCATGAAGCAGAAAATAAGAAAAAACAGTGCAACTGTTGTGAGCAATCTTCTTATTGAGAGCTCAACATATGGAATAGCGAGATTATCCCAGAAAACATCGCGTGGTTCGGGAGCCCATTCCGTCAACCATATTGTGGGATTGTGGCATTGCTGCGTTTGAGCACAAACAGCTGTTCCCCACCGTGATCTGAAGGAAACGAATGCTGCCGGCATGATAGACTTAGGATCGTTCATGATCTTTTCTCTTTCGACAGCCTCCTGTGTATGTAAAGAATTACAAATGCACTTATAATAAAGACGAAAATGGTATGAAGACTAATTCTAAAGGTGAGAGTACATACTTGCCGAGCCAAAATATCCATCTTTGAAGTATAGAAGTCAATCGCATCAACTGTAGTTCCCCAAAAACCTCCATAACCTGTCTATATGATAAATTAAATAACTACCGACGAGAAATGAAATCATGATAAGCATGAAATTCAAAGAGTCATTTGGCTGAAACATTACAGAGCTATGTGGTCAAAGGTTAAAATAGTCTTGCAACAAGAAGTACCTTTGTTGTTGGCCTACTTGATGGCTTCCTCTCAAATTTATTCTCGTAGTAAGTCAACCAATTTTGCATAGCTTTTCTCTGTGCGACTAATTTTGCAAGGTCATTTGCATTGTACACTACCTGGAACATCAAATAAGAAAACACATGACATACTTGAAAAAAACAAAAGTTTCTTTATGCTCTGCGTCAAACAATAATTCTGAATATCCCTCTATTCATGGTTTTCGAGATATTATAGATGATTTTACATTCAGCCAGCTAAAGAAACGTGCCTGATGACAAAGATAATGATCTGGATGATTTACACAAAAGAAGTGCTCCACATGCTCGTTTACTGATTCATCAGGATCTGGAGGAACATTTCTCACGAGTACCTGCAAAAGCGTAGATGGCAATACTTAAAAGAACGAACATGAGTAGCAGCCAAAAATCAGGTCACTGATTCAAATATCAGAAACTAGATAATAATCGAAATAAGTGATATATCTATCTTGTATGAGATATGTAAAATGCTGGCCCTAGCGGTTATGGATTATGATCACTAAGAACCATTTCCCTTAAAGCATACATAGAAGCATCATTCCCAAATATATTATGTTTGCAAGATCTTTTTCAAAGCAGTATTTGAGGAGTGGTGAAGCTGGCAAGGAAAAGAGAAGTAAGTTTTTACAGTAAAGATAACTAGACAAGTACAACAGATTGTATAACTCACCGTGAGTTGATCAGGACGACGACTTTCTGCTGCTAGATGTCTCAATCTCATATTAGCCACAGTCTTATATTCCATGTATAATATGTAGCAAGTCCAGAGTGTAAACACGTATGTCATAGTTATATGAGCCCAAAACCTGGAACCAAGAAACTTCCAGCCGTCTTAGTTGATAAAATAGAAAGCTGCACATAGCATCACACACATTGTAAAAAAGAAAGCAGTATTTCCCAACACTAATGGAAAACAAACTCTTTTTAGCTGAATTAAGTGTTTATGACCCTGTCCACAAATTTGGCAATCCTGAACTGAGAGAAAAGCAGTAGTGACTTATGAGGAAATATGTCTCTAAAATACCTTGGCGATCCTGGTGGAACATTCGATATTGACAGCTTGTCGACGTTACTGAATGTCAAGTCATCGATATTTTCTAGCGTTTCTCCTGTCCAATTGACAGGAACCAAAACTCCAAAAGCAAGTAGTGTTATCGGGACGAACATTTTCAATCTGAACAACAACAGAACAACCTAAGAAACATGCTTGTGCCTCACAAGAATGTATTCAAGATCAATGGCATACATGGTATTCAAAATAAGTTACATACCCGAGAAGGTAAATGCGGATATATACAGCAGAATCGAGCCCTGCATGTTCGATAAGCTCGGGTTCAGGCATTTTAAGCGCTGCAGGCATCCAATTAAGAAACTTGACATAAGTAGTCCAATCTAAATTAACAAATCTAGTCATGATTCCTCTAGAACGCGTTGGACTTCCTCGTATCCCTTTGAGATACCATTTAGGGAAGTAAACTCTATCGTTAACAGGCTGAAGTCTAAGCATAGCAAATGCAAACAAGAAAGCAAATGCAGATAAAAGATTGATAGCTGCAGATAGACCAATATCTTGTACTGAAGCCATCTCTTCTCTTTAACTCAATTTCAACCAAAAATGTTTCTCAATCTGTTAAAGAGATCACCAAAAAAATACAAAATTTTATTCTCTCTTTTTCAATTTTGTAGCATTACATTCAAAACGAGGTTTTTCAGTGTTGGAGTTACCAGAGATGGAGGAGGCGATGAATTGGCGATTGACTGTGAGAAAGTGAAATTCCGGGAAAAGAGGAGAAGACGAGAGAAAATGGCGCCATTGACATTGTTCTTCTTCTCCAACGACATTTCATCTTCTTCCTCCGATTCTCCGAATTTTTCTGCTTCTCTCTCGAATTTTGTTTTTGAACTTTTTGCTCGATATTTTCTCTAATTACTAATTAGAAATTTTGCTTTTAAAATAATAAATATTCGGACTTAAAACGGAACATATCTCACGCGCCTTACGCGTGTGAATATTAAAAAGAAAATATATATTTTACTGTAATTTGTAGGCTTTTTAACTCAATATTAAAAAGAAAATAATTAAAAAAGTGTAGTATAGCAAATAAATTACTGAAAAATAATTATTTATGATATCAGTTTCTAGACTCTATTTATTTTGGATTTGAATTGCAAAATTAGATTGCCTTTTAAAACTTTAGAATAATAATAATATTGTTGAGATATATATATATATATATATATATATATATATTGTTAAGATTTTTTTTAACAAATCATGAAATGTGTGCATTAATGATTTTAAATTTTTTTCTCAATTAACTTTTCTTGATACTAAATGCACACTTCACATTTTAAGTGAATTAAAAAAATGTATTCAATGCTTTTTATTCTGCCCAAAACAACAAAACATTATTTCAAAATCTCAATTTTATTATACTCTTTAAAGACCTTGATAAAGTGCCATGGGTCACGTTCAATAAGATCCTCTCAGATCAAACCGGGTTTACATATTTTTAGTTTTACTAGGATCGGACCCGCGGTCTACCGCGGGAGAATATTGGTTTACATACGTTGCGTTTAATATTGTGTGTGTTTTTTAGTAGATTGAATCGTGTAGTATACTTATAAATATTCATAATAACGAATTGTAGAGAAAATGTAAAATTGTTTATAAATATACCCATCGTATTAATTATGATTTACAAAATAGATTTTGTGTTTAAAAATTCTAAAATTAGACGATTCATGAAATTAGAGCATTCAAAATAGGTCAAAAACCGCGGGTCGAACCCACATCATCTCACTATGGGGCAGATTTGAGAAAATATATTAAACCCGCAAATAAGCAGACCACATGGATTAATTCGCAGTGGGTCATAGGTTTAATCAGTTTTCATCCGCGGGTTGGCGGATCAGCCCGCATATTAGTATTTATTGATAAAATTATAATTTATTCAACATGTGGTAATTTAAACAAACTTTTAATAGTATTTTGATTTATTTATTTATTTTAGTAGTATTTTAAATTTTGGTTACTTTAAAATTATTTAAACAAAATCCATGGACAATCCCGCAAATCCGCATACATTCGCGGAACGGGTTTGTATTTCATATATGCTACCCGCGGGTCGTGCGGACCGACTAACTACAAGTCAAAATATTTTTTGTCTATCGCAAAACGGATTTAACGGGACGAATCAACTCGCTTTGACAGTTCTAATGGGAATATTATTTAGTCATACAACAAAATGAAGTTTGGACATAGTAATAATAGAATATGTATCTTATTTGTTAGATGAGAGATTGAAAGATAAAGTATAATGATTAAAAATTAATTTTTTTTTTCATGATTCACAAAATTTAATAAATACTTATCATCTTGTTGAATAATTCTAAAATCATATTGAAGAAATCTTTATAAATTGAAAATTAAACTTCTTTGGTAAGCTATAGGTATGAAAATATCATAATTTTGATTAATCTAATTAAATTAAAATTAGTTACATAGATTTCATATCTATTTAATTTACATGACCAAAATAAAAATATCTATTTAATTTACACGACCAAAATAAAAATATCAATTTAATTTATAAAACAGATGAGTTATTTGTGATAAATTTTCTAGAAATCTTTAGAAGCAAGTAAAATATCTTTCAATTAATGATAATTGGCTAAAATGAGCGAAATTAATGACAAAAACGTTGATTGTTATGGAATTAGTCTCAAAAATATATGAACAAATTTATTATACGTAATTAATGTATAATATTGTTTGGAATATGCTTTTATTATTAGTTACCATAAGTAAAATTAGATTTTATTTGATTTCCATAAATATTTGTTTTTATTTCAATTTTTCATTATTAATTCGAATTTATATTCCTAAAAAAAATTCAAAGATCCGATTTCAGAATTTCGGGTCAATGGGGATGTGCCTTTAGTCAAGTGGTTAAGTCCACTTGACTCCGCCTTCCCCACCGGAGTTTGACTCCACTAAATCGCGTTACCCCGCGTAGTAGGGATTGGCTATGGATCGGGCCTTGTCGATCCAAAGATGTCAAAAAAAAAAAGAATTTTGGGTCAATTTTCTGATTTTAACCTAACCTATTTTCAATTATACGTCTCTTTTAATAGTATAGAGATTAGTAACGATCGTTAAATCTCAACGTGTGGCTCGTATAACGGCCGTTAGAGATTGGGGTGTCGACAAGTTAGTAATAAACGTCGTTAAATTGGTTGCAGCCGCGGGTCGTGTTTATCAACTCAAAGCACAAATACTTTTCCTTTTTTTTTTTGGGCAAAGCACAAATACTTTTCCTTAACCTAAACAAATAAGGCAATTAGCCAAAAAAAAAACGTTGCGTGTAAACAACGCTGGTTACGTGTCGAACTTTGATTGGTTAGTGCTTCACCGCCATAGCTTTCCCGGCCGTGTCCTCGTCTTCTCTTTTCTATAAATTAATACCCAAAGATCTCTTCTTCTTCACAATTCAGTTTCCAATTTCTCAACAATCTTAAAACCATTCTTTCAACCGTGATCAAGGTAGACTTCTGGGTTCTTACTCAGTTTCTTCGATTTTTTTTTCGTTCTATCGTGTGATTGAGTTTGAATTTGATTCTGTTTATTTTTGATCGGAGACAAATTTCTGAGTTTCATCGTTAGATCACATCTTAATTCTCGATTAGGGTTCGTAGTTTTCGCTAATCTGTGTGTTTTACGCGTTAATTCTTTGAATTTTATCCGATTTGTTATAAGAAATTGAGTTTTATCTGTGAGATCTATCCAGATCTGGTTTTAGTTTCTTGATTGGATCTGATTCTTGTTTGTGCGATCGAATTTGTCGATTAATCTTAGTTAATTCTGAAATTACAGATGCAGATCTTCGTTAAGACTCTCACCGGAAAGACTATCACCCTTGAGGTGGAAAGCTCTGACACCATCGACAACGTTAAGGCCAAGATCCAGGACAAGGAAGGCATTCCTCCGGATCAGCAGAGGTTGATCTTCGCCGGAAAGCAGTTGGAGGATGGCAGAACCCTTGCTGACTACAACATCCAGAAGGAGTCGACCCTTCATCTTGTTCTCAGGCTTCGTGGTGGTATGCAGATTTTTGTCAAGACTTTGACTGGAAAGACTATCACTTTGGAGGTGGAGAGCTCTGACACCATCGACAACGTGAAAGCCAAGATCCAAGACAAAGAGGGTATCCCTCCGGACCAGCAGAGGTTGATCTTCGCCGGAAAGCAACTTGAAGATGGCAGAACTTTGGCTGATTACAACATTCAGAAGGAGTCTACACTTCACTTGGTCTTGCGTCTGCGTGGAGGTATGCAGATCTTCGTGAAGACTCTCACCGGAAAGACCATCACCTTGGAGGTAGAGAGCTCTGATACCATTGACAACGTGAAGGCCAAGATCCAGGATAAGGAAGGCATCCCTCCGGACCAGCAGAGGTTGATCTTCGCCGGCAAGCAGCTGGAGGATGGCCGCACCTTGGCTGACTACAACATCCAGAAGGAGTCGACCCTTCACTTGGTCTTGCGTCTACGTGGTGGTATGCAGATCTTTGTCAAGACTTTGACCGGTAAGACCATCACCCTTGAAGTGGAGAGCTCAGACACCATTGACAATGTGAAGGCCAAGATCCAGGACAAGGAAGGCATTCCTCCAGACCAGCAGCGTCTCATCTTCGCTGGAAAACAGCTTGAGGATGGCCGCACCTTAGCTGACTACAACATCCAGAAGGAGTCGACCCTTCACTTGGTGCTAAGGCTTCGTGGTGGCATGCAGATTTTCGTGAAGACTCTGACCGGGAAGACTATCACGCTGGAGGTGGAGAGCTCTGACACCATTGACAACGTGAAGGCCAAGATCCAGGATAAGGAAGGTATCCCTCCGGACCAGCAGCGTCTCATCTTCGCTGGAAAGCAGCTTGAGGATGGTCGTACTTTGGCCGACTACAACATCCAGAAGGAGTCGACCCTTCACTTGGTCCTTCGTCTCCGTGGTGGCTTTTAAAACTTGTCTCCTCTTACCTTGTAATGCCCGTAATGAATAATTGATGAAGTATGTTTCCGTTCTTTTGTCTCTCCTTTCTTTCTATAATGACAAATTGAAGTATTGTACTTCTTCACCTCTTGGATTATCCTGCGAGTGTCTTTTCTATGTGCTTCGTTTGCTTAATAAGCCTGAAAATTAACGTGCAAAACTTGTAATAGCAGATGTTTTTAATGGTTGGATATCAATCTCTGCCTCTCCTATTATGTCAGCAGCAGAAAATGTTTCATAATCATACACTTGCTTCAATCACATAAGAAACCGTAAGATATACATAATCATCCATTTCCTTTTACCAATTTTGAAGAAACCAAACTCGTTAATCTTGTATTCTTGTTACCAGCTGAGGAACTTCGCCATATCGTCTTCTGTTTCGTTCCATCCACAAATGATAGATGGAGCTTTGACAAGAAAATCTCAGCACAAACAAATTGATTTCATCATTACGAGCAGGTGTAATCCTTTGAATCATATTATCCCATTTGTTGGTGTAGTTTGAATGAAGGATGCCTAGTAGTCTTCTTCCAAACTTCCTTCATTGCGGATATTTTTTTATAGCATAAATTGTTATCATACTCATCTACTACTGATAAAGGAAAAGCATATAAATTATCCAACTTTTCTTCAAAATCTCAAAATTCTTTGACAAAACGATAGTCTTTGTTTATGTCATTACCAGAGTTGGAAAAAAAAACAAACCAAAAACACCATAAGCAAACTATACACAGAAGAAAAATAATAAAGAGCTCAATATATGTTTACACTAATGGTAGATTAGCTCAAAGATCCAAGCTTTACTCTATATAGAGCACGACCCAAAAGCCCTTCATATCTCTTTTATTCTTAAAACTGATTTTATTTCTATAAAGAGATGAAATCTTCTGTAATGAAGACACTTAGAGCTCTGTCTCTTTGTCAAAAAAGTCCCAGCCCTCTTCCAGAAGCTCCTTACGATCATCTTTTCCCTCGTTAACCAAAGCTTTTGGGCTCGTGTTGTTGCTCGAGGCTTCAGCTGTTTCATAAGATGCCTCCAAAGGCTTCTCCAGCAATAAGCTCTTCATGGATGATGCGGAAGAAGCCAGTTTACAGCTAGTCTGGCTTGAGGTAATTGATTGGCTCAATGGCACTCGGTTGTCGAATTTCTCTTTCAAGTGTCGGATGTCTTGACAGATCACAGAGATTTCTCCTCTGTTCAAGGAAGTACCAAGAGAGTGAAGACTAGTTAAATCGCACTTAGCAGACAAGATTCACCATAAGATTCTAAATGTTTAAAACAGCAAATATATCATTGACAGCTATTCATCCTAAACCCTAATGCTTCACAAGGATATTAATGTGAATTGCCAGTAGCAAGGAAGAACACTTACTGTAAGGAATCAACAATCCGACCATGATCCATAAGAAACTCTCGCAGCTGAAGAAAGAGCAAGATAAGTTAAGAAGTTGTGACTTCAGATTCAGAAACATTCATTCATAGCAATCTCAAGGCAGTGATGTTACCTTGGAGTTTTCTTCTGCCTCTTGCTGTAGAAGCTTTGATTCTTGGACAACTTTTTCCATGATCGCTTCTTGTTCAGCAAATGCCATGCGTGCAGACCCTTCTTTTTCCTGCTTTTCTTGCTCAGCAGCATTTTTAATCTCCAGCGCTGCCGCTAGTCTTATTTCAAGAACTTCACGCATCTAAAAGCAAAAAAAAGAAACGCAATCAGCAAAATCTTACAGTGCGAAACAACAGAAGTTAATAGTGTGTATTGTTAAGAGAAGATTAATGGAACTGCAAATGAACAAAACAGAAATACAAGTTGGATCTAATCGTGTGGCCTGCACGGACCTCATCAAGAACAGAAAGAGATTTGTCTCGTTCCTCTGATAAGTTGAGCAAGCGATTTTCAAGCTCGTTAACTTCAGTGGTCAAAATTGACCTCTCCCCATAAACTTCTCCAGCATCCTGTGACATACAAACGATTAGTTCCCTATTAAACCTAAGCACATTAACACAAACGTATCAGTACAATATTAGTAACATAAAGTCACCATGTCATTTGCCTCCTTCGCATGTTCCAGCATCTTCTTCAGCTCCTCCACCTTGTCAAGAGTATCAAAGCCTCCTCTAGAAGCATCTTCCTTTGCCTTTTCTGCATCCTTTTCTTGAAGTTCAACTTCTCTCATCAGATTCATAATCGACTCCATCACAGTGAACAAGGTTTTCTACATCATTACAAAATAAAAAGAAGAGTATGATACTGAGATATCGCTAAAGAAACACTCCTATCGAACACATAACCCCAAAAATTTATTCAAAAATTAATTATTTCCTGGAGATTAAAGAATACCAAAATATACACTAGCATACCTTGTTACTTTTGGCATCTTCAATGATCTGTTCAAGGTGGACAATGTTGCATCCCTGGGTTGATCTGCTAACAACAGAGCTAAAAGCACCAACCAGCTCTGGATCACCATTTTCAACTGCCAAAGAGCCCTTTGACGTCACATCCACAAGATTTGAACCACTCAACTCTGCATCGCTATTTTCAACAGCCAATGAACCACTTGATGTCTCGTTCACAATATCGATACTCCCAAATCTAATTTGAAGAGGAGGTGATTTCTGTGTCATTGCCGAATTGTCTGCAGGATAAACCAGCTTATGCACAGCATCTTCTGACTCTGAGCTTGTGCTAGCTTCTGCTTGATTACTACCTGTAATGTGAAACCCAACACCTTGACAACCATGGCTAGTCGATTTAGCTCCCGCCTGAAAAGAGACAGGGTTTTCTGAGGAAACCACTCCAGACTCTTCCGATCCGCTCAACCCGATCTTTGCGTTGCTCTGAATATCAAGATCAACATTTGGCATAACATGTGTCAACTGGTTCCTACTAGAAATTGATTCAGTAATTGGGGCCCTTGATTCATGATCACAATCAACAGCCAGAGGGATACTTCCTGAAGAGGAAGAAGAACCTGTCTCTGAACCAGACAACACACCGTTTTGCATAGCACGTTCTACTGCATGTCCAAAGGGCATTTCATCAGAATAATATCCTCAAAAATATAATAGTATCATAGCAAAGAATAAGTACCTTTGTTAGGCACATTTCCGGGTGTCCTGTTCTCAGGTTGTGTAGAATTATCAGCCAAATTAGGGTAAAAGAAAGGAACAATCTCTGAAACAACTACAGCTGCAGCTTCATTAGCATCCTTTGGGTGCTCAATAGCAACAGCTTTTAAAAGCCTTGCATCAATCTGCAAAAAATCGTATTGTGTAGATTAATAATAATACAAGTTGGTTCCAAAACAGTAACCAAAAGATGATCCAAAATCTAGAAGTTAGTTAACATCTGGAATATGAGATTACTTGATCAATCATCGCATAATATACAGGGAAATTTATATGGAACCTCAACAACATATATCGACACAAGCATCTCATAAAATCTACCATTACTCGAAGTGAAAAACAGAAAGAAAGATATGAGCTTACCTGAGGAAACAATTCTGTGAGAGATCGATAAACTGCTTTGTAACCCATCAGTGAAAAAATCAACTAAATCTGCAAGAAAGCCAAAACAAACGATTATTCCTGGGTTACAATGGTGAAACAGCTATTGGGTTGATTCAAGTAATACCAAAAGACAATAACTTCTCTGAAAAGTATCATCTAACTATTAAAATCAATAAATAAGAACTTACACATCATATTTATGCAAGACCCTAGAAAACTGCTTGAAGACACTACACAATATGATTGCATCAAACAAACAAATACACGAAAGGCAGAAACTTTATGCGTTTAGGATTTTACAGCAAACACTAAAACCCTAATTTCGAATCAAAAGAAAGCAACTAAATTAGAGAAGAAAATCAAGACATGATCATAACAATATATAAATCACCTCGTCAAAATTAATGATTTAGGAATCGAAACATAACAATATAGACAAAAAAAAAAGGTTTTTGAACAAGATGATCAAAATTCACCTCGAATTTCTCGGTGGGTTTTTCAAATTCTCAGAATTGGAAAGAAGCAAAGAAGATTTAGATCACACGAACCTTTCCGAGATTTTTCCGGTGAGAGATTTGACAGAGTAAAGGAAGCGGAAAAGGCGCAGCAATTCGGATGAGAGATTTTGAGAATTGTGAGAAACAGTAAATATATTGTTTCTCGGAAAAATAATAATAAGAAAGCAGAGGAAACTTACGCGGCTAAGAAACAAAAGGGTAGTTTCGGTAATTTGATAGTTTTTAGACCGCCGTCGATAATTATTATTGGCGTAGGCCCAGTAAATATTAAATAATGCTGGCCCAATACAATAGTAGAAATACTTCTAATTTGGGCCTAAGATAATGCTGGCCCAAAGTACTCCACGGTCACTAGTATATATTAATTAACGACTCTCGTCACTCGCGGTCTCACTAATCATCCCTCTAACAGTCTCTCTCTCTCTCTCTCTCTACAATCGTTTTAACGATAACTCGCCGACGAAGAAGAAAACGAAAAAGAGTAATAAGTCAAGAAAGATCACTAAAATACTCTTATCTATTTCGATACAACGAAACAGAGATGTCTCTCTCAGACGATCATTTATCTTCTACGGGGAAGAATCGAGCGCGTACGAGTCAAGAATCACGAGAGAGCCCTCAAGGTTCTTCTTTCTTGCGATCCAAGGAAACAGAGACGTCTCTCTCCGACGACCCTCCACCTCCGAGGAAGAAAAATCGAGCGCTTACGAGTCAAGAACCACGAGAGAGCCCTCAAGATTCTTCTTTCTTGCGATCCAAGGAAACGGAGAAGAAGAGTCAGACGAGTATGGGCCAAGAAACAGAGAAGCCGTTTGTTTCTCCGATTAACACAGATGAAGAAGTCTTTAAGGGATATGAATCGTACAGGGAAAACCCAGATTACTACGACAGTGACAAAATCCTTATCAACACTGAAAACACGTTGAATCCTTATGGTGACATGTTCGAAGGTTCTTTCATCAGAAACTATGTATAAGACATTGCGCAGAAAAACCGATATTTTCTCTGAATACCATTACTTCTTGGGTGTTGCAGGTTCTCTTGATTCTGCAGGGTACATTGGTTCACAAAACGATCATGATGCGCTCGAGATGCCAAGGTTGACGTTACACAACTCTGGAAGTCAAATTGGTGTTGGCCTTATTAGACCTGACATGGAACAAGAATTCTCCACAGAAATGCAGGGTAAGTAAAGTCTTTATTCCCCCTTGACCTTGTCGGATTTTGACTTGTTGTGGTTGTGAGGTGAGTTTATTATATGTTTGTTTACCACTTTAGGTGAAGGATATGGGACAAACACTTGTGGCCCTTGCGAAAACAAGATTGATATTGCTGCTGGTTCTGTTGGAAACATTGAATCCTTGATGAACGCAGAAAGAGAGAAAGAAAAGATTGTGATGATCCCTACCCCTGGATTTGTCGACAACTCTGGAAGTCAAATTGGTGTAATTGGCCTTATTAGACCTGACATGGAACAAGAATTCTCCACAGAAATGCAGGGTAAGTAAAGTCTTATTCCCCCTTGATGACCTTGTCGGATTTTGACTTGTTGTGGTTGTGAGGTGAGTTTATTATATGTTTGTCTACCACTTTAGGTGAAGGATATGGCACACACACTTGTGGCCCTTTGGAAAACAAGATTGATATTGCTGTTGGTTCTTTTGGAAACGTTGGATCGATTATGAACGCAGAAAGAGAGAAAGAAAAGACTGTGATGATCCCTACCCCTAGATTTGTCGAGGCACCACAATGGACCATAAAGAAGAAGCTGACCCAGTACGATACTAATCCTCATTATGACAGACTTATTCTGCAAAAGAGCTCCTTTGATGAGCACATTGGAAGACATTTGCCTAAAGCAGATTACCAAAAGGTAGTAGATAAAATCGGAACCACGACTGTTAACGTATATGACTACGACACGGACACAATGCATGAGCTGCGTCTGGAATTAGAGAAAAGCTATGGTCTAAGGAGTGGTTGGCTGGAACATTTTGTTCGCAGGAGATGCTTGAGGCAAAACGAAGAGATTGGACTCTTATGGGATTCTTCTGCTTCTAGGATTCAGTTTGGCGTCATTTCTCGGCGTACGAGACGAAAGAGACAGACTTATAAATAGAAACGCAATTTACCAACTCCCAGAGGAAGTGTTTTTTCTTTCTTTTTCAAACATTTCTTATGATAGGTTTTTGTGTAGCCATCTTGAGATTTTGATGGGTCGGACATAAACCAATGTATGATATATCAAATCATTAAAAGCACTTAATTATCCCTCTTTCTTATGTTTTTCTTACAGCCACTTTTATAATTCTCTCTTTTGATAAAATCTATCTTAAGCAAGAGTCACAAAGATAAAATGTTCTCAAACCCTAAACCCTATGCATTTGAAGATACAATCTTGAAACACAGACTGAGCCAAAAATGTTGACAATAAGAAAAACAAAATCTGTTTTTATGTTTTAATCACTAGTTTAAATGGTGGGCCATCAACTACATTATTTGTATGTTGTTGTTTGCTATCAAGTCAAACAAAGAAACATCACTTTGCTCAGAAGATCAAAAGATGGGGAAGAAGAAAACTGTGAAGTACTTTGTGGTAATCTATTTGATTTCTCTCGAATTTGTTTTTTTTTTTTTTCAGATTCTTGACTAATGAAAAATATGGTGTTGAAAGGTTGATGCTTTCACTGATTCGGCTTTCAAAGGCAATCCAGCTGCTGTTTGTTTTCTCAACGACGACGACAACAGCGAGAGAGACGACACGTGGCTTCAGTCTCTCGCCGCCGAATTCAACATCTCCGACACTTGTTTTCTTACTCCCATCACTGGTTTCGATGCTCGCTTCAGTCTCCGGTGGTTTACCCCTTTAGCTGAGGTTTCACCAACTATTTTGACTTTTGTTTCTTTTTAAAGTTTTGAACTTTAGATTGAGATTGATCTGAGTAAGTTGTATTTTCTTGAATTGGAGAAATTTAGTGAGACCCTTTTTGATTTGGGGTTGTTTATTGCTTTGTAGGTTGATCTTTGTGGTCATGCAACTTTGGCATCTGTTCATTGTCTCTTCTCAAATGGTTTGGTTGATTCAGACATGGTTGAGTTTGTCACAAGATCAGGGATTCTTTCAGCCAAGCGTGTTTCAGATACTTCAGAGCTCAATGATGGTGACGTGAAAGGAGGATCCTTTTTGATTGAGTTGAATTTCCCTGTGGTTACAACTTGTGATATTAATCTCAGTGATGTCTCCTCTTCTATGATTACCAAGGCCTTGAACGGAGCTACCATTGTTGATATAAAAGCTACTGCGACAAACAACATCCTCGTAAGTTTAAATCTTTGGTTTTCCTTTCAACATTTTTACTTGTTTTGTCTCTGATTTCTAAAGTTTGATTCTTTGTATTCATGTGTGCTCATATAGGTTAACCAGCTACTCTGGAAATTGCATTAGTAGCAAGCATCCTTAATCTTTGTTTGACTTTCGATTTACTCTCTTATGCACTTGCCTGTAGGTTGTGCTTCCATCTATGGAATCTGTCACTGAATTGCAACCAAGAATGGATGATATATTGAAATGCCCCTGCGATGGCATAATTGTGACAGCTGCTGGTTCTGCAGGATCGGCCTATGATTTCTACAGTCGTTATTTCGCTCCTAAGTTCGGAGTTGATGAGGTGAAAGAGTAGCTGCAACTTACTATATGAATATAACTATCATTACAGTCTTTGCTCTTAGGATTGAACAAAAGAATATGATTTCTTCTGCCTGAACTGTGTCGCCTTTTTCAGGACCCTGTTTGTGGAAGTGCACATTGTGCATTGGCACATTACTGGAGCCTCAAGATGAACAAATGTGATTTCCTAGCCTACCAAGTAATCTCTCTAATCTCTTTAAATTTTTAAGTAGCGTTTAGTGCTTCCTAGTTCCTAGTGAATGATTTTGAGTTTCTGAAATTTCTCTTAGGCTTCGCGTAGGAGTGGAACAATTAGGATTCATCTAGACAAGGAGAAGCAGAGGGTTCTCCTGAGAGGCAAATCCGTGACTGTGATGGAAGGCCATGTCTTGGTTTGATCTGAAATGATATACTGTGTTGATTGACTTCTGCTACAAGACAAGCTCCTTCCTATAATGGAATAACAATAAATTTACTATTTTCAAAACAAAATAGTGTCAGCTGACTGATCCCACCTTGCATGAGGTGTGGTACTCGTAGGAGCCACTGATAGGATATGTCTATGTTTACTGACCATGTGTGTTCATTTGTGTGTGGCTACTGTCGTTGTTACAATTACTATCACTGTATTTCCCTTCTGGTCAATTAATTAGATCTTGTTTGATTTGATAGAACAAAAACACGTTCTTTACCCTATTGCTACTGCTGCTGCTGCTTCTCCTGAAGGATATGCTTATGATTTCATTAGTATAGGTGTCGATGAGATTAACAAAATTAGTCTGCATTTTCATCTTATGTGCACAGAAGCCATGAACCTCATCTTACCTATGTTAATTGGATTTTTTGTTCATATATTTCTGTATGTGGAAGTGTACATTACATAATATTTACATAGTAGAATTCATCATTTCATTGAGAACCTTGATAGAATCAGAAACAGAGGCTACAGAGCCATATGTACGTACCCAGTACCCTGAGAAACAGAGGCTACGTTCACATGAAATGTTATCTGTAATACTCATTAGGCAACAATCCTAATCAGATGCATTTTCATTAATTTTGCAGATTCTTACTTTGCCTTTGATTGGTTTCCCCATGCTTTGATCCACTCGTAGTTCTGTGAAGTATTCCATTTGTGGAGTAAACAGGGCATTAGAGTTTATTTGATCCATAACCGTTGTAGTTGTGCATAATCACCAATCTTGTAAATCTGTCAGATGTATTAGCTTGTGAATGTCGACCATTCTCACTTCTTTTTGTAGGCGGATCTTTGTGGTCATGCAACATTGTGGATTTGTCACATTACTGGATCATAATATAGGAGTTGATGAGGTAAAAGAGTATCTGCATTTTAACGGGAAAAACCAATGACTCATATGATCCAACAGTTCTCTTTCGCCACATCTTTGTCTTACCACCACTCACAGACAATTCATTTGTCTTCCCAGTTCCCATATCAATCAATTTTCATTTTTTTGGTCTGGGGGATTCTTTCATTATTAAATAGAACGTGGAACACCTTGTTTCTAGATAAAAAAAGGAAGAAGAGGAGCTATATGGCCATGCTCGTGAAGATGCCTGTGAAGTATTTTATGGTAATTGTATTTTCTTCTTCTGTCTTCTTTGTTTTTTTTTGTTTCTGGTAATGTACTAGTGTAACTTCCTTCCGTTCTTCTTTGCTCTGAGTAGTATAGAAATGTTTTCAGCTTTTCAAGATTGATAAAGATGTTGGTAAACAGGTTAATGCATTCTCTGAGTCAGCCTTCAAGGGAAACCCAGCAGTAGTGTGCTTTCTCGATGGGAAGAATGAGAGAGATGACTCAGCAGCAAGAGACTGAAGCCACACTTCTTCCAATCCTCTCGATCCTGCTTCCACCTAGCAGATTGTTTTGTTATTCCAATCACTGCTTCCAATCCTCTCGATCCCCCACACTTCTTACTCCGGTGGTTCACCCCATTCTAGAGGTTTTGTTTCTCTTTTCCCCATTACAGTTTTAGCATTTGAGATGATGATAATCCAAAATAATCCACAGTGGAATATCTTTGAAGGATCAGTCTATGATTTCTGTAGTCGGGTCTTTGACCCCAAATTAGGAGTAGATGAGGTTAAAAACTCTAGCCTGCGTGCATTTTCATATTCTTTGGGAAAATCCATGAACCAAAAGTCTTTACTTTTGCTTGGTTTTTTGTTCCTTCAGGATTCTGTTTGTGGAAGTGCACATTGTGCACTAGCACATTACTGAAGCCTCAAGATGAACAAGTGTGATTTTGTCGCTAACGCGGTGATTCTTCTTTCTTTGTAACTAACTAAATTTTGAAGCTAAGAAAGCAAACTCATAGTTTACAGAATCAACAAAAAACAATTCCAGGCTTCGCGTAGGAGTGGAACATTGAAGGTTCATTATGATAAGGAGAAGCAGAGAGTCTTACTCACTGGCAAAGCTGTGACAGTGATGAAAGGCTCTATCTTAGTTTAATCTTGGAAAAATATGTTAGCATTTTGATTCTCGAACCCCTAAGTTTGGCAATAATGTAATGGAAGGCCATGTCTTGGTCTGATCTGATATATTGTTTAATGTTTTTCAAATTGTTGCTGGTGTCAGCTCACTTCCACTAGGATCCATGTGATAAGATATATCTACGTTATTGTTTATTTTCCATGGATTTATTTCCTTTTTTGTGTGGTTACTAATACTATAGCTAAAAGGGACAACCTCTATCTTAATTCTGACAATCTTTGGGACTTTCTTTTTTGGGTAAAACAATTGGTAGATCTTGCTTGATTTGTTATGTAGGTCTCGATAGTTTGTTTATGGTTTGCATATATACATAACTTATGCTGAGAGTGTTTTATAATTCAAAAATGTGAAAGAATTTATTTTTTTTTTGAAAATTTTAATCATGTTAACCCGTAAGTGCTAACGCAGCAATCGCTTTGGAAACAATTAGAGGCCTTATTTCTCGAACTGTGTGCTTGATGTATCCTGTATATATTGTATGTCAAAGTTAAAAGAAGAAGATATTAAAAGAAACAAAAGGAGATATGGCCATGATCTTGAAGAAGCATGTCAACTACTTTGTGGTAAATCTATCTCTTTCTTTTCTTGTGTTTTCTTTCTGATTAATCTGGTAATGTAACTTCCTTAATGCCCTTCTTCAGTTTGAACTTCACGTACTTCAAGTTTTCTTCTTTATTTGTTTTGGTTGAGAAATGTTTCAGACTTTAAGCTTCTCAAGATCAACCAGCTTGTTAATAAACACAGGTTGATGCATTCACTGATTCAGCCTTTAAGGGTAACCCTGCAGTAGTGTGCTTTCTAGATGATGAGAGTAAGAGAGATGACGTCTGGCTTCAGTCTCTCGCCACCAAATTCAACCTTCCTATGACTTGTTTTCTTATTACCATCACCGGCTCCAATCCCCCTCGCTTTATACTGCGGTGGTTCACCCGCTTTGTGGGGGTCCTGCTCCTGCATCAGTCTCTCATTCATTTATGATTTCAATTCATTTGGATTACTGGTCACAAACTCTTTGTTTGCAGATGGTTATTTGTGGTCACGCAACCTTAGCATCTGCTCACATTCTCTTCTCAAATGGTTTGGTTGGTTCTGCTGATACAGTTGAGTTTTTCACCCAGTCGGGGATTCTAACTGCCAAAAGGGTCCGTTGAGTGACGGTGAATCGAAAGAAGGATCGAATTGAATTTACCTATGATCAGAAGATGTGAGTACAACTCCAACGATGTCTCCATGTTCTCCAAAGCCTTAAACGGAGCTACCATTGTTGACGTCAGAGGAACTACAACAGCTAGCACCATCCCTGAAGCCTTGAATGGAGTTGCCAAGGCAGCTTCAACCGACAAAATCATCGTATGCTCTTCAAGAAACTTCAAAAACTATTACTTATATTGAAAACAGATTGACCTGAAAATGCTCCAATTTCTTTCCTCATCTTTATATGACTGAGAATCCGGACAAAGATGTATTTCTATAATGAATATTGTATTCATGATCTGATTACAGGTTGTGCTTCCATATTGGGAATCTGTCATTGAATTGCAGCCAAGAGTGGGTGATATCATGAAATGCCTCGGCAAAGTGATGATTGTTACCGCTGCTGCTCCTCAAGGATCTCCATTTGATTTCTGCAGTCGACTCTTTGCTCCTAAACTAGGGCTCCTAAACTAACCTGCACTTTCATAGGAGCAACTCTTCTCTTCTTACTTGTCGTAGCCACCAACAAAACATCAAAAATCTTTACCTTTACCTCTACCTCATTTGATTGGTGCTTTTGTTCCTTCAAGACTCTGTATGTGGAAGTGCACATTGTTCATTAGCACATTACTCGAGCCTCAAGATGAACAAGTCTGATTTCGTTGCCTATGCAGTGATTCCTCTTTCTCTGTAACTAACTAACATTTTGAAGCAAAGAAGAAACACATTTTACAGAATCAACAAATTTGTTTCAGGCGAATAACTTAAGGTTCATTATGATAAGGATAAACAGAGAGTCTCGCTCGCCCGGAAAGTTGTGACCGTCATGAACGGCTCCATATTAGTTTAATCTTTTGACATTTTCTCAAATTCTTGCAGAAAAAGGTCAATGATTTTGCTTTCTCGAATTCCCCAAGTTTTTTCAGATTCTATGTAATAAAGTGATGAAGTCAATAATAAAACGATATTGAGAGCTGCGAGTTTGGCAATAACGTATCAAATCTCAAAATCATGAAAACTTAAGAGATAACAAGAATTTGTCTTAATGACACCAAATCTCACTACAAGATAGATCTTTTACAATCCTGCTGTTACAAAACAAAAAGGACCAAACTTTTGATCACTGCAAAATGCTTAACGACCACCACGTCCACGTCCACGGCCTCTTCCACGACCACGTCCACGACCTGGTGGAAGCTTACCTGATACCAAAGAGAACAATAAAAAGATGAGTCTAAGCAAAAAAAAAAAAAAAAACCAAAGGAGTTTAGAGAACGAAATGTTTTGTTACCAGCAGTTGGCTTTTTGGGCTTGATTCTTGGAGTGTCTTCAACCAGCAAAGTCTCGAGATTCAAACTGTCTGGAAGAATATAATAGCGAATGTTGTTTCCCCTGACACTTAAATGGTCTAATGTAACTGGATTCTTCCCTTTCAGAGTGAGTTTCACAGCTTTTAAATGAGTGTTCATACTAACATCTACACCTGCATTAAGTCATCACAAGTAGATCATACCAGTCAGTGAGATAATTGATAATTGCATTCTAAACAAGATGATGGCAGAAACAGGAAACGAAACCAATCATTAACAGCAGAGACCACTTGTACTGGATAAGGTAATCAATCAGTTGATGAGACTAAAAGAGAAGCTGAGACAAGAAGCCACACGGTAACTGTTCTGTAAAAATTCAGAGATTTTCTTTAGAGGGAAAGAGATAAGAGGGACTTTCATGTGCTAAATCTAATCATCTGCATTTGACTCGACCAGTATATCAGTCAGTTCTTGCAAACAAGAGGGTTAACACCAACAAAACATTTCTAGGTCAAAAATTAAGACTCAGCTAAACTTGAAATTCTTCAGATATTACCACTAATAACAGAATTACGCCTCAGAATTTGTGAACAAGAGAGGTCCATAGTGATAAAGGGAGATACTAAACAAAGTGATCAAGTTTGAAAAAAAAAACTAAAGTATTTCATAAAAAATCATGTGCTAAACTCACTCCCATGGGCTTCGATACATGTTTGTTCTGAGATAGTATTGCTTATGGGTGATCATACTTTCAGAAGAACTTAAGCATTCTCATACACCCAAACTATAAAGCAAAATCAAATGTATCATCTGCATCTGACTAGACCAGTATCATTCACTTCTTGCAAACAAGAGAGTCAAAACCCACAATGCATTTCTAGGTCAAAAATCAAAACACAGCTAAATTCAAATTCGATAGGCATTATCACTAATAATAACAGAATTACACATCAGAGTTTGTAAATTCGAGAGCTCCATTGGTTACAACCATCAAAGGAGAAACTAAACAACCTCATAAACCTCGATACAAGCAAAATCTTGTGTATTCATCTGCATCAGACTCGACCGGTGTCACTAGGGTTAACACCAACAAAGCATTACTAGGGAAAATACTCTAGCTTAATTAAACCTCAGAATTAGTGAATAAGCGAGCTCCCATCGTTTACAGGTCTATGCAACAAGAAGCATCGTAGATTTTAAACAAAACCCTAAACACCGAATAGAGCTGGGTTTTAAGAGAAGCATACCTGTAATGGTTCCATGAACAATGGTTCCGTTCTTAAGCTCAATTGAAACTGTTTCGTTGTTCAATTTCATCAAAAACCTGCGAAAAAACCCGATACGAAATCAAACATCGAAAAGCATGAAAACAAAGAGAAATCTCAAAATTTCGAAGCAAATTCCATTAAACCGAAGAAAAAAAGAGAATCCGAGTAAGAGGGAAACGAGTAATCAGACCTAACGAGCTTCATGGTGAGAGAAGAAAATTAGGGCTTTGAGGAGAGCTCGATACAGCAATGGCAAGAAGCAAGAGCGGGAGGAGAAGAAACAAAAGAAAAATTGGGGATTTTATGTTTTAACAAAAAAAGTTGAAGACTCTGTTTTTAACCGACGCTCTCTTATTTCTTAGAATGTTTGATTATACCCCTATTATTTTATATTTACAGAAACACCCATCTCAACTTTTTTTACATAATGGACTATTATTTTTTATGTTACATAATGGACTATTCTTCATTCGGCCTTCTAGCCCAATAGTAACGTTGGTGTTTGAATCCATTAATGATTGGAATCGATCCAATTTCCCTAAATCCATTAATAATTGTGACAACTAAATTATGCAAATTGAAAACTGAAAATATGGATATTACATTATGAATATACACAGTCTCTCAAACGGGTTGATCTTATTTGGATTTTATTACTAATCCAATGGTAACCAAGCATACAACACAAAATAATCTTTCATTTTATTTTATTTGATTCTACTTTTCCACATTTAATGAGTTATGTTGGTCAATGGCACCAACAGTCGGGTCGGGGCATCAATAGATCCATTCCTCGGGGAGAAGTTTCTCCGGCGAATCAATCAGATTTTCTACTTCAATGTTCATAGGTGTTGCCAACATTTCGTTCTTCTTCTTCGAATCGTTTTCTCGAATTTCTACATTCAATACAAAACAAAAAAAAAAATGTTACAATTTATACCTACTTTGTAATATATAACGTGATGCATTTAAATAGTGGTTGAAAAAAAATGGTTAGAGAAAAACCTGGACGAGGAGAAATATGGATACCGTTGTTGTGAATGTTAAGATTGAGTGCTTGAACTACACGCGTCGGGAGAAGCACCGGCGAGCAAGCTATGACAAGAGAATTTTGTTTTCATTAATCAAAAATTTATATACATAAAACGCCAACAAAACACAATTTCTTTTTGGTGTATAATATATGCTAATAGATAGAAAAATGGTAAGGGATGCATGTATAGGCCTAGAATCTCGTAGTTATAAAAAACAAATGCATTTCTTATAGGTTCTAAGAAAAAAAAAAACACCCTAAGGACAAAATGTAAGTTAAAAGTGTTGTCAATCTTCATATCATAATTTAAACATGAAACTAAAAGAATTTTAGTATATGCATTTGGTAAAATTGATTTTATGTAATTGAAAACATTATGCACCCTTATTTGTTCATACATAACTAGTATAGAGTCATTAATAAATAACCTGGTTTTTTGGTGGGCGGATGAGAGGCGGTGGCCGGAAGAAAAACTCCGGTGCCAGAAGTTGTACGGCCTGGCGACACCAAGAAAAATGCTTGCATACGGTCCTGATCTCCTTTACTCCTTTGCCAATTGCTTTGGTGCTTTTTTCTTGTATTATAGTTCTTCAACACACAAAAATATATATACCAATATTTGAGTTTCGAAAATATGTAAGATATGTTTAAATACAGAATTAAATACGGGATACGTATGTAATAATGTCCATAACGATAGTTTCTCCAATACCGTTAAGAGACTGAAAAGAAAAAACCTTGAAAAAAGATTGAAAACAATACCAAAGGAAAAGTTTGCCTGAGAGGAGGTGCACCGGGCCGACGGAATTCACCGCTGCCATGGTGGTGGTGGTTCTTGACATATTTCTGCAACTGTATGAGAATTTAATTAACAACTACGAGAAAATTTTAATAACAAAATCAAATAGAAAAACTTGGATATAAGATGATATATAAACCTGATGTTTGTTGGAATGATCAAACAATGGATCTTGAAGAACATGAGAGGGTGACCATATTTGCCTATCCTTGTGACCGATGATGTCACCCATTTGAAACTGACCAAAAAGAAAATTGAATTTCGATAATTAAAATTTCAAAAATATGAAACACTTTGAATCAATCTTAGAAGAAGAACATTGAGAGAGAATCAATGGAAAGGTTTTCTTTGTTGACAAAGAAAAAAGAAAGAAGAGAAGAGGTCTTGATATCCCCCAACTTCTGACCTGAATCTTAACTATAAATATTACTCACGATGGGTTTGGAAAGTAGAGGGAGAGATGATGACGACGAATTGTTTGGAATGCTAATTATTATTTTTTATAAGATAGTAATTTTAATGCCGCCATTCAAGTTTTCTTATTTATAGAAAATTAATTGTTATGTTGACAACAAAAGAAGAGTTTCAATGATTTTATTATTTGAATTTGGTTTCATCATTACTACAAGGATAAAACGAGAGTTACACACGCTTTCATTTCAAATTTTCAAAACAAAACAAAATAATCATATCATTTTCTACTTTGGAAAGTGTGTTTTTTACCAATTTTCACATAAACCGCAAGGTAACCGTGAGGTAACGCCAGCACTTATCAGAGATTATGCTATCGTCATATTGGCAACGAGAAAGAATGTCCCCGTTGTTGGGCTCCGGAAGAATCCATAAACCATCTTCTCTTCGATTGTCCGCCTTCGAGGCAAATTTGGGCCTTATCACTCATTCCCACCTCAGGGCACATTTTCCCCAGAAGTTCCCTTTTCTATAATTTCGACTTTCTTTTCTGGCGTGGGAAAGAATTCGGAATAGAAGAGGAAACTTTGGAACTCTTTCCATGGATATTGTGGTATATCTGGAAAAGTTGTAACAGATTTTGCTTTGAAAACTTCAAAGAACCTCTTCAGGAGACTCTTGCCTTGGCTTTACGGGAAGCCTCTGTGTGGAAGAAAGCAAACATGAAAGAAGCAGCAGATCCCGAATCTCTTGCCCGGTCGATTCTACTTCCCGCGTCCTTCCCCAGGATCTCGGAATGTCAGATTGATGCTTCTTGGTACTCGGAGGACTCTCTAAGTGGACATGGTTGGGTTTTAGTCGACCAAGACCGTATTCTTCAGCTCGGCTTAATGAGCTCGAGAAGGAGCCTCTCACCGCTCCACGCGGAGATTGATTCTTTGCTCTGGGCAATGGAGTGTTTGATCTCGCTAGGCATTACCAATGGCGCCTTCGCATCTGATTGCTCGGACATGATATCTATCGTAGACAACCAAGACGCTTGGCCATCTTTCGCAGCAGAAATGACCTCTTTCCGGTCTCTCGTTTGTTTTTTTCCGTCTTTTAGCATTAGATTTGTTCCTCGAAGTTTTAATACTCGAGCAGATTGTTTAGCTAAAAAAGCTCGGGCTAGGAATAGTCTATTTTCCCATGTAAGTTCGTCGGTTCCTGATTGGCTCTCCCTAGCGGAGAATCTCTTTCCGATATCTTAATAAAAATGGTGTTTGAAGAAAAAAAAAAAAAAAAAAAAAACCGTGAGGTAACGCCAACATTAATGAAAACTACTAGATTACAAATATTTTTACTATATAAAGTTTTACTATGGAAAACTTTTTTTTTATGCAATTATTCACATAAATCGTGTAGTAACCGTGAGGTAACACCAACATTAATGGAAACTATTAGATTAGAAATATTTTTTCTAGATAAATTTTTACTATGGAAATATTTTATGTTAATTTGAAATTATTTGACTGATTTTTCATCTCAAAATATTTTTAAACTGAGAAATTCATGCATCAAAGTCCATGCTAATCTCTCAATTTTTTTTTTTTTCTCTGGATATTTACTTCCAAAAGAATTAGAATTATTTTATATTGCATTCTTATATTATTAAATTATAATGTATATAGTTTCTAAGAAAGATTAAGGAGGTCATGTCGGGGAGTGGGTTGAGTTGTATTAAGTAAACGCCTTCCTCGAATTTTTAATGACATTTTTATGTTTAGTGCTTTAATTCAAACTAGATCCGGATCCGCACGTACGTGCGGGGTTTTGGTAACATATGTTTTTGAGTATAAAATTTATGTCAATTAGGTTTTGAATGTGTGTATCAATTTGAATTTTGTATGACTATTTCAAATAGATTTATGTAACAAATTACAGGATTGAATATATTAGTATTGGGAACAAATCAAATCGTTCGAGAAATATGTATTTCGGTATATTTTTGTATTAAAATATAGATGGGTAATACAACACATTACTGTGTTTATTTTATTGTTTTTGTAACATAATTAGTGTGTTTAGTACTTGGTCTAGTAAGGTAAATTTATTAAATCTATACTATAATTGACAAATGTAATTACACTTTATGAGGTTATTTAAGTTAGAATGATTCCCAATTAATAGTATAGATTGTTCCTTAAAATGACTATAACTTTGACCTAAACTACAAAGTAATAATATTTTTATCAATTAGTTGTGATTTTTTGGCTACACATCAATTCTATCGAGAATACGTAAAAGTATAGTATCAAACAAAATAAATGTTTTATCATATTTATACCCAAATTACTTGTTATTGTTCATATCTCATCTTCGTATTTTTTTTTCTATATACCCAATTACTTTAATTTGGGTGTAAACCTAGACCTTGAGACGATTAAATCCAACTTTGGGTATAAACTTCTATTTAAAAGCTCTAGCTAACTATGATATAAAAATGGGAAGAAGCAAATGTAACATTTTTTTAATTATAGTCGTATACTATCCCATAATCCATATCTCTATTTATATTTATTTATATTGAAAAATAAGGAAGACCAAATGACCAACGACGCCACTTCTTCTTAACAACCTTCACCAACCAACCCAAGTTCGTCGAACTTCTTTTAAGATGATTTTATTAGTTGACGATCTTTACCTCAAGTGGGCTCTATATCAAGATTAGTCGTGAGACTTGAGACTTCATGACTAATCGATTCGAGGAGATACCTTTAGTAATTAATAATTAGTATGGGCGGCTAGCTCTAGCCTGCCAATTATAGTTTTACAATTAACCATCTACTTAATTCAATTAAAATAAATCGAGGAATAAGATTCGAACACATCCAAGGCTAAGGTTTTATGGATACCCAAATCTAGTTTACCTACCAGCTTTAAAAATGCTACAATAATTGGTGAATAGTAAAATCAAAACTTACAAATTTGTTTTAGGAAAAAATATAAGCTGGATATAGGTTTATGGTTAAAATAGTTGACTAAGTGTTTTGAGGTGAACAAATCCACTTTGGACACAAGTCTTTGAAAGCTTACATAAGCTTTACACAAGTCATAACTACCCAACAAGAAGAGTCGAAGTAGGTTTTTCAGTTAGTCAACCTCTCAAAGATCATTTGACATCATCATATAGAGAACCAAATATATAAAATTGGCACAGTAAAAAAAAAAAACTTTAATCATACTAAATTCTGAAAAGAAAAAAAAAACAGGAAAAAACCATAGTGATCCTCGCAGCAACTTCATTCCTCTGCAGCTTTGGACACTCTCCTCAAGCTCCAAATGTCAGAGCAAGTCGAATGTTACTGCTTCAAGACAAGTATCTCCATTGGTACAGACTTTCAGAGAACGGACTTTCAGAGAACGGTGTTCTTCAAACTCACTGGTTTATCCTCTCTCAATATTGCAAACAAAAAGCTTCACGGATTCTTTCCAATATGTTTTCTGTATTCTTCGGTTTGTGGAAGTTGCAGTCCGAAACTAACTTTGCCGCTTTCAGGCTAAGAAATGGTGGACGAGATTTCAGTCACACGCATTCGACTGGTTAGTCTTATAAGCTCCTTAGTCTCTTCATCTAACTCTACATTATCCTTTGCCATTCGCTCTTCAACTATGAGTGCCATTTCACCAGCTTTGGCGTAAGTACGTAATAAGGAATTGTAGAGCTGAGTGTTCACATGACCAGCCTTTTGAAGTAGAGTCATTAGCTTCTCTGCTCCTTTAACATTCCCTTGTTCCTCGAGTTCCTTGCACACTGCTTTAACCAATCTTACATTCACAGTCCATTTCTTCACAGAATCAATGGCTTTCTCAAAACAATCTAAAACTTTCTCCAAATCTTTACGCTTCAAATAAGCCCATGTGAGAATTTCCCATGTAGAATAGCTCGGGTTTATCCCTTTCTCCACAATACGTTCGTAGAACTTCTCACCTAGAAGAATCTCGTCTCTGTTCATGTACTCGGCAAGGATTAGATTCGGGATTCTAGCATCTCCTGTTCCAGAAACAGATTCCCATTCGTCATACAAACCTTTGGCTTGTTCAAATTCACCAAGCTTCACCACTGCAGATATCATACTAAGGTACTCCGCATCATTCATTTTCTTGAAAGACGACCTAACCTTCTTCCAGGTTAAGTTGACTCCATCTTTGTCACCCAAGTTCGCGTGCAGACTTATGAGAGAAGCATAAGCAACCCGGTTTTTCTTAGAAACTAATTTCTCCATCTCCTTCAAAGCAAGTTTCGCCTTTTCAAGATTATCAGTCTTAGCATACAAATTCGTTAGCACACTATAAGTCACCCAGTCTGGATTCAGCTTCGATTCCTTCGCCTTAAGATAAACTTTTTCCGCACCTTCAACATCGTTTCCAGAAGCAAACGCAGTCAGCCATAGATTATAAGTAACAATATCAGGAGATGTTTTCATCTTCAATTCCTTAATCAACACCGAGACTTTCTCAAACTGGCCTTTCGATATAAACATCGATAACATATGATTGTAAGGCAAACAAGACTTCAAGAAACCACATTCACCCATTTTCTCAAACAAAGCCTCAGCTTTATCAGACAACTTGTTCTGCACATAGCTATGTAGAAGAGATGTACAAGCAGCATGACCTCGCATTTGATCCGGCAAATCTTCGAAAAACTTCTCCGCACTGTTTAAACCACGGATTTTAGAAATCAAATCCAAATGCACAGCATAATCACCAGCTTGCAACTTTATATCTTCCTGTAGAACCATCCATTCACATATCTGCACATAAATCACTAACAACAGTTTACCACAATGAACAAATAACTCAAATCGCAGAGATTCAAACAAAATCATAACAAACATATCAAATCGAATTCAAATTGAGAGAAAATCACGAACCTCAAGAGCGTGTTTATAGCGTTTGATCTTACGAAGCTCTCTAACGATTCGATTAAGTTCGTATTTGCGAACGGAATGGCCTTCTTCTTTCCATTTCCGGATAGTAACAACGGCGCTGCGTTTAGTGTACACAAGGCTTAATAATCTCCCTCCTAGAGTGTCTCTTCCTCCAACTACCGTTTCTTTTCTATTCGTAGCTGCTCCTCCTCCTCCGCTGCGAGTCTTCACCGCTGCTTCCGCCGTCGTGTCTACCGTCCCGGCGGCGGCGGAGAAAAGGCGGCAAATGGAGGCTAGGGTTGGCCGAGCAGAGCGAAGCAACATGTTTTTATTCATTTTAGTTAGTTACTGAGCTCTGCTGTGCTGTTGAGTATTTGCCAAGTGTGGGTTTGAAGCTAATTTTTGTTGGGCCTAGTCTCGGCCCAATGTTAAACCAACAAAACAGCACAAATAACTAAAGAGAGTTTGCAGAATTAAGATGTTTCTTTAGCCACATATTTATTAAAGAGAGTTAAAATTAATTCTCCTAAAACCTATGTATATGAAAATTTCATTTTTTTTTCTTTTTCGTCATGAAAAAATCATTTTATATATTTACAAAAAGGAAAAAAAAAAAAAAAGTCGAATAATTGATATACCAAAAAGGATGGGTACATTGTGAGATTTACTTTAGATTTTGGTCAATTATAAGCGGAGTCAAGTGGCATATCATATATAGAGAATCTACTTCCTCTATTCGTTTGCAGAGAACAAAGTTTGCTCTTCAGATTTTTGTAAGATTGGACTATACATCGTACTGTTGTCTATTTCTCATTGGCTCAATCATATACTTGCAATCTATTTTTGATATCATTTCAAGATTTATATAGTACGAATTTGGTCGAGACAGAGGGAAAGACTATCAAGAGAGATCGTGTACAAAAGACATGTATTGGTGTATTCCCTGTTTTTGTATTTCAACGAATTAGTCATGTATTTTGGCCCCATGTATTTTTGGCATATAACAAGATTCACTATGAATTATGTATGTATTGGTGTGTATGAATCCGTATTTTCGCAAAGTTTGGACTAGATATATATGAATAATCAAAGGTTACTTATAAGTTATACCATACTAAAAAGTAAAAACAGATGATGACGAGTAGTCTATGTTTAAGTAATAATTAACTCACGTTTTAGCATTTACTTTTTGTAGAATAAGAACCCGTAATAATACAAAACACTCCTCTTCCATAAATCAATCATACTTAAAAAAATCAAATAAGCCATTTTACTAATTACTGTTGTCATAAAAATAAATTTATTTGCTGAGTTGAATTTTCCATTAAGTGGTAACCCAAAATTGTTGCTCCTTCCAGTTAAGCATGGTTTTAGGCTCACATCCATTTTCATTGCATCTCCTTTTTGGCCTTCTGCTAAACTTTTTATTTCCAATTTTACCCTCAAAGTTCTCGTTATTCCCCACAATGCCCTCCTCTTCTTCCTCTGAATCGTCTTCTTCTTCTTCTCCTTTCTCTTCCTCTTTATCTTCATGACCCTCGAATCCGGATTCATTTTCTTGGAACTCTTCTTCTCCGTCTTGACTATTCAAAGAATTCTCTGATAAACAGAGACGAAGCCTTCCTTCACGACGTTCAGATACAAAGCAACGAGGTGGTGAACAAACCCTAATTGCTTGAACAACAAGACGACCATCTTCTTTATACGATTTCACCATACGGCTATTGTTGAATCCGTTTACGGATTTTAACGGCGGAGGAAAACTGTTTTCACGGGTCATAAGGTTAGTTTCTTTTTGAGGTTTCTTAGTAAGAGAAATCATTGAAATATTGGTTGCTTCAAGCGCAAGTAACGACATCTCGTCTCCACTATCACTCCCATTCTCTGTCCCCAGGCTCTCTGTGCACATCTCAAGGCTCAGTTTAGCCACGGAACGCTTCTCGATCGGATGGACATAAGCTGTTTTCTTTGTGTCGTCTTCTCTGTTTTGGACAATGCCTTTTGGTTCAGAGAAATATTGTAGGAAACTCCATCCACCCACGTCAAGATTTTGGCTTACTTGCTTCTTGGGAAGATGTGTGCTGACTTGGCCAACAACTATGGACATGTTTGTGTTATGTTAAGAGAGCAAAAGAAAGCAAACACAGAGTGAAAAAAGAGAAGAAGAGAGAGAGGATGAGAATGGGCGAAGAAGATGATGTGGTAGTAGAAGGGATGGGTATGTATTTATAATGCGGTTCTACTTTAGATTGGGGATTTATTTTATGATTTCTAAATAGTTTCATGACCATTTTTATTTATTTAATGTAATATTAATTGGATTGGTAAGAATTAATAACAAAATGGTGACTTCACTACCACTTCTAAAAGTCAATTACATTAAGAGAATTGTTTTTACAAATTACTACTTAATCATCATTAATATTAATCTTTTCGTTAATCTGTGAGTTTAATTATAAAGTAATTATAAATATTATATCACCTTTTTATTTTTTAACATCAAATAGTATATCACTTCATTCATTTTGAAACTAAATTCACTTTTCGTTTTGTTTATTTTGTTATTGTGATTCTATATTTACTTTGTGGTGAAGTGTTTGTTATCAGTTCTTGATAGTTTCTCTATGTTTTCAAAATTTAAACCATAAAAAAGGAATACACTGTTTTATATCCGACTTGTTCTCAGGAAAAATGGTCATTTAATTCTCCTACTATTTGAAATTGACACTTTTATTCCCGAACTTTGTTGTGAACAAATTAATTCCTCAATGTGTAGTTGACTGGGCACTTTTGGACAAATAAAAAGTCAACGTTAATTAGTTAACAGTGACGTTAAAAGCTCGATTAAAAACTTCACCAGACCAAAAAATCCCAAATTATTCTTCTTCTTCCCCCAAAATTGAAACCTAGGGTTCTTAGGCGATTTTAAAAACGACAACCCAGAAATTGAAGTCAATTGAGAGCGATTCCCGACATCACGAAGCTATGAAGAACACAAAGAACAAGATTATACTCTCTCTTGATTTCATCTACCATCTCTTGCGACTGAATCTAAGATAAAATCGCAGGAGATGGTAGATGAAATCAAGAGAGAGTATAATCTTGTTCTTTGTGTTCTTCATAGCTTTGTGTTGCTGGGAATCACTCTCAATTGAACTCAATTTATGGGTTCGTCTTTTTCAAAATCGCTTAAGAACCCTAGGTTTTAATTTGGGGGAAGAAGAAGAATAATTGGGAATTTTTAGGGCTGATGAGATTATTAATCGAGCTGTTAACGTTGCTGTTAACTAATTAACGTTGACTTTTTATTTGTCCAAAAGTGCCCAGTCAACTACACATTGAGGAATTAATTTGTTCACAGCAAAGTTCGGGAATAAAAGTGTCAATTTCAAATAGTAGGGGAATTAAATGACCATTTTTCCCTTATTCTCGTGCCGTTAAAATAAAAAAATTTAAATATTTGTTATTACAATGGGTCGAATATAAAAAAATACATCAGCTGAAAATCCATTAATTGGTTTAGGAAAACTATATTAAACGAAAAAAAGCTTTCATTATTGTGATGTTCGTTTGGCAGTCGCAAGCCTCCTGTGACTGCGACTGCGACTGAAAGTTGCTCGTTTGACTAGTCACGCAATCAGTCGCAGCAACTTGTGAATAAAATTTTTGATCGCTGGAAAAATTAGCGATGCGATTATTTTAATGACGATTAGTCACAGCGATCAGTCACACGATTACCAAACGAACAACATCCCGTGATTTTAAAATCGCAGTCACAATCGCAGCCACAGTCGCAGTCGCTGGCGATTATGAAACGAACATGACCTATGTCAACGAATTATAAATTTTAATATTGGGTAAAGACAAAAAGGAAAGGCTAAAAAAAAGGAAAAGTGTCATCAGGAATTTAAATAGATTACTTTTGGTAGCCGGAAAACGAATATTTATCAGCAACCGTGGTCTGAAAACTATTTCCAGTTTTCTTAACATTTGTTTATTTTAAATTATCCTATTTAAGGAATGTGTCTTTAGTCAAGTGGTTAAGTCCATTTGACTCTGTTTTCTTTACCGGAGTTCAACTCCACATAAGTCGCGTTATTCTGCATAATAGAAATTAGATATGGATCGGATCTTATTGATCTAAAGATGTCAAAAAAAAAAAAAAAAAAAAAAAAAAAAAAAAACTATCCTATTTAGTTCGGTTCCAATCAAGTCTCCAATAAATAAAACATAATAAACTTCCAGTTACTATAATTTAATATGACTGAGTGACTGAACACTGACCCACGTACACACATTAAAATGTATTTTATCAAAAGTATCTGTTTATATGTATGTACTAATTTATTAAATATTTGTATAACAAACCGATTGGTGTAATGGGTATTACTGTATAGTATATAAAATTTGTGCTTAGGGCATTTGTCAAGAAACCTAGATGCGTATAAAGGTTTACTTGACTTGATATAAGAACATGAGGTTGGTTCAAGTAGAGTGGTTTTAGAATGAAATTTGATTTGAAATTGGTCAGAAAAATCATTACCTTAGCAAAAACGTTTTACAAATCTCATATCAAAAACTAGGTGAGAACTATAGTAACATAATTATATAGACTAATTATCAATTGATTGTATTTTGAATTGAAATTGAAATTTATAAAGCATATAATAGTCCGTTATTTATGTTCAGCACAAAATGGTGTCATATTGAAGAGGTTCACCAACCTAGTGCAGTAGTGCTTATCATTAAAAGAAAGCACTTCAGCTTCTTCTTTATTTAGTTAAACTTTATTAAAGTTGTGGTTAATATGTCTTGAACTAGAATTGATAGGTTATATTTTGTCCACGATCTCTATGTGTCTACAAGAACAAGATATATATATATATAATCCAAATGCTGTACAAATTATATGAAAAAATAACCTCTTAACAGATAAAAAAGTGGCAGTCATCGATATGCTAAATAAATAGTTGAATAATAGAATAATAGAATAGAATGTATTTTTGGAAAAAACACTAAAACAAAAAGTTTTCAAGTAGTCCAGTGGTTTTACTCTCATGGAAAAAAGCATTTTCTTGTTGTCTATAATTAGAATAACTTTCTATTTAAGGGAAATAAACAACAACCAACCAATAATATTCTCGGTAGATGCCAAATTATAAAATAATATTTCATGTATCGACGTCTTCAAAGTTTAACATTGGACGAGATTTGTTTTTTGGTTCTATTTAAACCATAATAAGAAATTGGTTTTCCTTTTAAAAAGTTACAATTTTTTTTTTGAATATGGTTGTATTTATAAAAAATTGTTTTGCATGAGATCATTAATCACAATCATAACTCGTGATGTAGAAATAAGCTTATTTTTCAGAATTAAGTTTTTTTTTTAATGGTTATTTAAAGCAAATCTATATTTTCAGTTTTTCATACATTAATTTAATTTTCTGTATCCTAAATAGCTTACATACATATTTATTTCGTTCTATAATTTGAATAAAATATGCAGTTTCTTTGAATACGTTAATTAATAAAGATGTTGTAGCTAGTTTGGACCTCGAAACCATGGACTAAAAACTTACCAACCAACGAAGTTACAAGATATAATTCTTCTTAAATTTTACTATTTTTTTAAAATTCGTATATTTGTAAGGTTGTTCCACAAAAACACATGGGAAAACCTTAGAATGTGATTGGTCTAAAGTCTAGTAATAAGTCAATATACCAATAGATCGACACTTTACAATTTGCAAATTCTGCTGCAAGGACACGATCGAATAGTGAACATAGAAGATCGCGTATATATTATTCTTGATTGGATATGAATGCCAAACCGATTACTATCGCAAATAAATCCTCGAAAACTCAGAGCTTTTGTTTCAAACAGTGATAAGTGTTGGGTCATGCAAGAATCACAAATTTTTTTTTTTTTTGAATAAATGTAAAATTAATTCAAAAAACCGTGTTTACAATATTTGCAACCTTGAACCGAAATAATGTTTGAAAAGATTGAAAAAATCTAAGTAGTAACTCAAGCTAGCAAGAAATCATCTCGTTGCTAGCCAAATTCGAAACCCCTCCCTTTGTTTGATAGAGCCGTGTTGATTGATGGTGCATAGCCGATTACGCACTACTCGGTCAATAGACTTAATAAGATGGTCTTGGTTGTGTGGAAGCTCACCATGCCTCCTACGTTCTCCCCAGATGCAATGAGCTGTAGCCTGAAACAAGAATCACACAAACTTAACCAGGTATAATATCTATGCAAGACTTGAACAACGAGTCCAAACCATTTAAACTTCAAAATGTGTTCTCGGGGTTTGCAACATCAAATGTGTGAGATGAATCGTATAAGTAGTTTAACTATGTGTGAGATAATTAATCGGAAAACATTCCAAATTTGAGATAACAGTGTGGTGATCCTTCGGGAAGAATTTCACTCTATAACATTTCGGTGCATTCCTACCAGAGATAACCAGATCAGCCGATAAGGTTTATTAAAAAAAAAAAAACTATGTACTCACATGTATGATGAAAGATAAAACACATGAATGCTCTCTAATGGCAACTAATGTGTGACATCTAATGAAGGAGATATGTTATTTCTTTATGTATAATAAGACCATCTCCAATGTATTTCCCTATTTTTGCCTCTATAATAGAGATGAGTTTTACTTCAATGTGTTTCTCTATTTTTTCCTCTAAAATTTTTAACTCTATTATAGAAGAAAAATATAGAAAAAAAAATAGAGATCATCTATATATAGAGCAAAAAATAGAGATCTCTATTTTAGAGGTGAAAATAAAGATCTCTATTTTAGAAGTGAAAATAGAGATGTGTTGGAGTGAATTTTACTGTATAATAGAGTATAGAGAAAAAAATAGAGGTGAATTAGAGATGCTCTAATATATACCGAATCAACACCTCCTCCATAGTTATGAGTCTTTTGGCATTTGATGCATTTATGAGAAATTACATATTAGCATTGATGTCGACGTAATTATTTGGATTAATTTAAATATAATGGCAATAGAAGTTCCAATTTAAGTGAGAACAACTTTTCGAAGACTATTTGTTACAGAAACAACGGTTTTGGTACTAATTAATGGTTTTAAAAGCTGAAGTAAACTATGTTAATGGATAGTAGATATGCCAAGTAAGTAGAAAGCTAAGAAGAATATGTACCATTCTCTCTTTCTCTCCAATGAGCCATAAGCCATTCAAATGTCGCATTCGCCAATCTCTACTTTTTCGATCTTTTTGCTTCGATTGGTGTTTTATAGATTGTCCAAACCAATCAGAGGAAGAAGAAGAAAGAAAGAAAACATGATTCTTTTACATCATCAACATTCCACTGCTGACCTGAAATTATAATGTAAGGAGAAATCAAAAGTTAAGATCCTTCAAAAACATTTGTGTTATTTTGTTGAGTCTTTATTCAAGTTTATAATCTTTTAGTAGCAACAAAGTAAGGTGGAATCTCTTTCATGTTTCCACAAAAATGTCAACTGGGAATATTCTTTTCTCTTAACTTTTGACTATACTCATCCCTTTGTTTATAACAACATTAAATAAAAGGTTGGGTTATTAAGGAGACATGTCATTAGCTGAAAGTTGTGAATTCAATTAGAAAAACTAACAACGTACGTTTACACTATTAATTAATCTAATGGTAAGCACTAAGTATACTTTATTCTACAAATTCTGGATAAGGAAGAACTAAATTTTCACAAAAAAAGAAAAAAAAAAAAGAAGAGAAAGTTATTTTAGAAGGAAACCGATCAAGTGCTGAGAATTATTCCTCATGGTAACCTATGAATGTGAGTTAATATTTTCTCTCTATATATATTATGTTTCTAAGTCAAAAAGATTGGTAAATTTTAAACTGGAAAACTGCCTAAAATTATTGAAATTGTTCTTTACTTTTTCTAACAAAACACAGCTTTCATTTTTAGTACCATTTATATTGTAATAAAAATTTACGATTGTTTAAGAGAAATTTGAAATCAACTCATAAGTCATACCTTATTTTAGCAGTTGGAAATCTTCTTGAACTACTAATATTCACACTTTTCTGGAATTGCAAAAGCTTGTTATATATAACATGGAATTAGTCAAAGTAACACAATTACATGTAATGTGATGAGGTACATGTACAAATCATAGAAAATGATTAGTTTTCCGGGCGAAGAAGTCTGCAATAAAAGTGGATACTTGTTTTTGATAGTTAGGTTACCTTGTTGAGCGCCCGATAATCAATGCACAAGGCTCCCGCTTTTTCTGGAAAGGGGCTCCCCAGTTTTCCTAATCAATTCATATAGATAGTTCAATCCAAATAAATCAAAACGAACAGAACTGAAAAAAATATGATATAAAGTGAACAAAAACCGTATGTGTAGACTGAATCATAGTATATTTGATTATTGGCTGATCTTAAAACATGTAAGCAAAAACAGCAGGAGGCTTTTGTCTGGTCCTTCCAGGTAGTCAATATACCCAATTTGCATTAGACCCAATTTGCAAGAACAGTAGTCATTAACCAGCATTAGACCCAATTTGCAAGATCTTTTTTTTTTTTCTTTTCAACATCCAATTTGCAAGATCAAAAGCATATAGTTTGTATATTCGATTTGTTTATTGTCTAACGTACTATGTGACCAAATTATTACAACAAACAGTGGGATGTTACAACTTTATATCTTAGAGACCAAGAAACTACTCAAAACTAAGACACAAAATCTAAATCAATTATGAAAATACTTGGGTTGTTTTTTTACGAAACACACAAAATCTAAACAATGACTTGATCAATATTGTTCTTCTTCTGCTGCTTTTTCAAAGCTTTCGTTAAGGGCTTTGGAGACATCTCGAGCTCTTGTTTCATCCTCTTCTTCTTCATCATCATCGTATTGAGGCACAGGGGATGAGAAATCTAAGCATAAACCTTGAACAACTTGTTCATATGAAGGAGATAGATCTTGAGATGTGATTTGATGGTACTCAACCATCTGGTGAAGACACTGATTTTCTCTTACTAAATTCGCGTTCTCATTCGCTAATCTAGCTTTCTCTGTAAGCAACACCTCCAATTGTAGCCTCACCTGTTGCATACAAACAAAATCAAAATCAGTAAACAGAGCAAAACAGAGCAGAAACAGAACAGATTTTGGAGATTGTACATACCAAATCATCTTCTTCAGGTCTAACACCTTTCACAAACCCATCTCTGAGTCTCTTGTTCTCTTCTTCAAGTAATCCACAACGTTCTTGGATGAAACTCAAGTCGGATTTTATGGATTTAAGCTCTCTTGCAAGCGAATTCGCTTTCGCTGCCATGGAGATCGCAATCTGCAAGAGAAAAGATTGAATCTTTATGAACAACATCAATGAAGAAAGAACCAAAGAGAGTAAGACTTTACGTTCTTAGCCTTGTTCATGATTTTCCTCTCTTTTGGTCTCTTCTCTTCTTCATTCGAAGAATCTTCTTTTTGTTCAATATCAGATTCGTGTTTCCTCTTCGTCCCTTTACTCTCTTCTTCTTCTTCTTTTTGTTGTCGTTGAATCTGATCAGCTTTGAGATTCGAGTGGAGAATCTCAGATAATGAAGGTGGTTTAGCTAATTCTCTAACTCCCTGATTGAACAAAAACACTTTTGTACTATCATTATCAATCATGGAGAATGGACAAACCTAATTTTGAATGGTTTCTAGAATTACCTGAAGGGCATTGTCGAGATTACTAGAAAGCTGAGACAGAGTATGAGAAACCGAATCAAACCCTTTAAGCAAAAGCATCGAATCATTCTTAAATCTCATTGATCTCTCTGTTTCTCCAGCAATCGTATCGGCGGCAATGGGTTTGTGATATTTGCTATTTTCTTCGAGAAGAACATCAACCCTGTTACGTAGATTGCTCCAGAGACGCTTGTCTGAAGATGGACTAATAATCGATGGAGAAGAATCAAAAGAAGTTGTAGAAACCATGTTCAAGCTTGTTCCTTCCTGTTTAAAACGATAAAATTTCAATTTTGAATCAAACCCTTGATTGGAGAGTCCAAGTAGAAGAAGAAGAACTTACGTAGTTGGTATGATTAGTTGATGGAGTTTCAACAGAAGCAGCCATTGATGGAGGTAGAGAAAGAGAGATATGTAACGGCTAGTTTATTGAAGATGAGAGATTGTGGAAAGAAGTGAATTTTAAATAGGATCTGCGACAATCGGCCCAACGTTCTGATTTCTTAACTCCTTTCGAAATTTGTTTTATTTTTGATCAATTAATAATGGAAATAGACAAAAGTAGATCTAGAAGTGGGACTTTGGTCGACGACTTTTTCACTGCATCCAAAAAATATATCTACAGTTTCTAGGGATGGATTAGTAGGTCCCACTTTACCATCCAACGGTCGTTTCTCAACTCTATGATCTCTCTCCACATTTAGAAAAATGGAAACAAAAAGTCTTAAGATTTACAAATCTGGAGTCTTGAGATGTATTAAGAGTTATTTATTCGGATAGATTGTTGTAAATACATTATCCATTACGTGGTTTATTGTCACAGATTTACTTTGTTATCTAACTCTGAAAACAAAATTTTCACCAGCACCACATGAGATTTGTTGATTCTCTTACAAGAGTGGACTTGTAACACATTAGACTAAAATAAGCTTCGCTAAAATGACACCTTAATAATATAATAATAGCTTCTGAAAATATGGACGAAAAAAAATATTTTACATAACTATGCATAATTTGGTCAATGGTTAGCCACTGACTGATGCCGTCGTGGATTTTAGTCTATATCTAGTGTATTTAACATGTCCTCTCTACGACCCAGCGAAATACACAAATATGCATCCATATATTAATCAGCACAATTATGGTTCATAATTTTGAGCATATCTCTTACTACTTTTGATCACAGTGGAGGTCTCTCCAACGAGACATACCCGAATTTGCCTTTGCGGAAATCCGTCAGTATTCTAAATGCAGCTTGATGACTATCTCCACCAAACAAGTTAAGACCAAGCGTCGTCACAAATCTGCAAGAGAGAGAGCAGAGATTCAATAAGAATACACGAACAATTATTTGCCAAAAGAAATGAGATCTTTGTGAAGAAGTTTCATTACTTTTTACCGCAGCCTCCTTCTAGCTGGATCTTGTATCGGTTATAAAGAGCATTTGCCCCTTTTGTTATAAAGACGAAAAGAAAAGAAGAGAATCTTAAGTTTCATTTTTGGCGCACGAAAATGAGAAAAAGAGTAAATCGCAAAAATGGTAATGTTCAGCAACTTACCTACTTCTGGAATCCGTGCTAACATCTGCACAAGGATTCCAGCAACATCAGTGAAGTCATAAGCTTTCTCTCCAATGTCATCGCAAATTGCAAGCTTTATAGCAGCTGCTTGATCGTCGATACGCATAGGAAGCATTCCAGGGGAGTCTAACAGATCAAGATCTTTCCCAAGCTTGACCCATCTGTTTACAATAAGATAAGAGTGATGACCAGTGACAGAGATTAAGTTTGGAAAACTGAGTTTAAAAACAAGCTTTTAAAAAGGTATTCTTACTTCATTTCTCTAGTTACACCTGGTCTTGGAGCTGCTGCGCAAATTTTGCGTTTCAATAGACGATTGATCAAAGATGATTTCCCAACATTAGGATATCCAATTATTCCAGCTCTAACCTGCATCATTTGAAATAAACTTAAAATTTAAATCATAAATGTTGCAACAGGGTATAATGGATCATGATACACTTTACTTACTGATCTAGGGAGAAGTCCTTTTTCTCGCCGTTTCCCATTTACGTCACCTGCTAAACTTTTTGCTAACCGACCTAGCTTCATAGCTCCCTGTAACCACCACTCAGAGATTATGTAACCAGCATTGCCAAGAAAGAAAAAAAATCAATCCCAAAGCAAAAAGATTATACTTATAGAAACAATACCATCCCAAGTTTGCCATTAGTGAAAATGACCTTTATTCCTTGCTTTGCAAAGTATCTTGCCCAATCATTTCGATCATCGTTCGATATCATATCTTCTCTATTTAATACCAATATCCGTTTCCTATTCCCAAGCCACGCATCCATCTACAAAATACAACATACATAACCCCAAAAGAAGGTAGACATTATTAGACTTAACTTGCTCCCACTGAACAAAGGTTCCAATGAGAACTTCTCTTGTACCGGGAGACAAAACAAATTCTAATGTCACCATTAAAAAACTCAAAAATATGCGTTTCTCCTCTAATGAAAGCTAACCTAAACAATGCTTACCCTATTACCAATTTCAGTTTAAATGTTCTAACTTTCCCACCACAAGGAGTAATATAATTAGCACAACACTCATAGTCTAAAAAACACTAACCTTTGGATGAGTCGTCGACAAAGGAATCCTAGCATCACGGACTTCAATCACAACATCCATTAGCTTAAGCTGTTCCCTAAGTTCCTTTTCAGTTTTCATTATGTGTCCTGGATACCACTGTATAATCAAGAACCCACACACACAGTAAACAACAATCCAACAAATTCATATTCCAAAAGAAAAAAAAAAAACAAAACTTTACAATATAATATCGTAATTGATCAACCTGAACAGGACGTAATGCTCTAGTCCATAGACGAATATCAGATTCTAGATTCATCCAATCAATTTCATCTTCATTTGCCTCTAATTTGAACCCTATTGAATCATCCTTTCGTGTGACATCCAAATTCAAATCTTTTCCTCCAACAATCTGCAAAACACGATTTTTCTCAATTTCATTTCAGATAACAAAAGAAGACCACACCAAGTACAATTGGATGAAAATGTTTGCCTGAATTGGTGGACGAGAGGAATTTGCAGTGGGAAGAGAAGCGGAGACGGCGTATGTACATTGACGGAAGGTGCGACGGTGAACGAAGTGGCTTAGGTTCGCCGGAGAAGGAGACGGCGATGGCGCTAACTGTGCAAACATCGCTGAAACAGAAATTAAAAATGAATTAAAAATCTAAAACCCCTTATCTATACGATGACATCTTATGGGCCTTTTGTTAGACTCGTAGGCCCATTTATATAAAATAGATTTCAAAATGTGGACAGAAATGGAAAATATACAAGTGTTCGAAGAGAGTACTGATGCTCAGAACAAAGTTAAGCTTGACAGAGGCAGATCTCTTGGACCCCTAGCTAGGGCCTCATAATCTTGACGATGAAGTTTATGTAAGAGTCGTTCACCTGAACTAGTTAATGTTCTAAAATACATTATATATGTTAAGACAAATGAGATAACCCATAGCCGTTTAGGCAGAAACTATACAATAGATATATTTACATAAAAATTTGTCAAAATAATGCATATATAATTACAATGTTACAATAATAACAAGAAACATAAAAATAATAAGCACAATGAATACTATAAAAACTAGGACTCAGACCCCCCGCGACATCGCGGGGGAAATGATTTCAAAAATCTTTAAAGAAAAAAATATTAAATGAAAAATTATAATGTATTTAGATAACTTTCAAAAAAATCTTTTTAATAATAAATCAAGATATATTTTGCGAAAAATACATTTTGTCTCTGTGGACCGAGAAGAAAGGAGGCTCAGCGGGAAGATAAAGATTAAAGAGGCGTAACCTTCAGAAACAATTATTAAGATTTATATTATTATTAAAAAACATTATGGTGAAAAGATGTGATCATAAACAAATATATTAATTAATCATTATAATGAGTAGACGTACTTTTTCAAGTTTTTAAACACTTCTCAACACAATTATATAAATACATTCAACAAAACATTATGTTAAAAATACGCAATACTTTAAATTGTGTTGTTAAAGAAAGATAATCCTCAGAAAAAATTGAATGTTTAAAAACTAAACAGATGCAACTTTAAGAAAACACAAGTACACAATTTTTAAAAAGACATATATGTTCAGATTTTTTATAGTTAAAAATTGTGCAGATGCAACTTTTTAAAAAAGCAATAATATTTTATAGTTTAAAAAAAAAAACTTAACGAAAGATTGCGACGAAAATACACAACCGTTCAAATTTGCAAAAGGTATTTATTGAGATTGCTATTATATATTTAAACGAAATGTTGCAATAAAAAGACGCAACCGTTCAGATGTGCAAATGGTATTTATTGGAAACGACATAACCGTAAAAAAATAACCGATTAAAACGAAAATTGCGATAAAAAGACGCAACCAAAATAACCGTAAAAAAATAACCGATTTAAATGAAAGATTGCGATAAAAAGACATAATCGTTCAGATGTGCAAATGGTATTTATTAGATTGCTATTATATATAGATTTACATGGATACCAAAAGATTTTAAATTCTCACTTTAACTAAAAAATAATCTGTTATGATCAAGGGAAATTGTTAAAAATACCCCTTTTGGTGTGCCCTTTTTCAAAAATGTCCCTTTTAGATGTTCATTTTCAAAAATGCCCATTTTTAAATCCGAAATTTTTATAAAGTTTTATTAGGTTTATAAGGTACTTATGGATTGTAACTACTACTTGAAGACTCGATCCAAGTATTTATAAGGTTTTATAAGGTGTTTTTAAAGGTTTTACAAGTTATTTTAAAGGATTTTTAAGGTTTTTCAAAGGTTTTACAAGATATTTTTAAGGTTTTTAAAGGTATTTAAAATGCATTTATAAGGTATTTATAAAGTATTTATAAGATTTTAGATACGTAGAAATGTAGTTTGTGTATGTTTTAATAATATTACATACATATTTGGGTAAATCTTATATTTTTAAGAGCATTTTTTATAAGGTTTTAAAAAAGAAGTATTTTTGAAAAGTGGCATTGAAAAAGTAGCATTTTTGCAAAAGCCCCTATGATCAAAACCATTACAATAATGTTAAAGAGTGACAGTGAAGTCATCTCATAGTTACTTTTTAGTTTTTTTTTTTTTTTTTTTTTTTGCTAAAAAGTAAATATCATATAAATGAAGATTGTTTTGGATTTACATTTTGATTATCAATACAGATAGGTCCTTGCCAAAAAAAAGATTTAAAAAAACAATGAAATATAGATATGCTTCAAATAAGCTAGAGTCCCATAAGATTTTCTGATCTTTTTCTGAACTTTAGTATTAATTTTTAGTAGAGCAAAACTACATATAGTTTGTTCTTTCTTACTTCTTAGTTTCAAAACATTGAACAAAACGAATTTTTTTTTTTTTAATTTTCGAGCCTTAAAAATTTATTTATGCGGTATCTAGGTATATATATCATATATATAAGTCACGCTAGCTTGGAAAGTGAGATTGAATTGGGACATCTTCTCCGGTAATCGGAGATTCTTTTATGCATGATGTACTCATTTAGATGGACGAGTGCACGATGATCATGCAAATGCATGTCGATCAAGCAGATGCATGTCGGCGTAGATGTTAGAGTATGTGCAGTGGAGAGATCCTCGAAATTTCTCAAATATATTATTTTAATATATTTAATATAATTTAATTGTTTATTTAAATTTTAGAAAAATAAAAAAAAATCAAACTAAATAACATGTTGACATATGTGAAAGTAATATCTCAAGGGCTTTTTAAAGGTTTTCATTTGGTAATCGATTCTCATTCCTTTATATATATATATATATATATATATAACTCTTTTGATAACTTCTGACTGCACATGCTCTTATATTCCGTTGTACTTTTACATTAAATGAGATTCATGTTTGACATATCTGCATTAAATGTGATTTGACGGAATGTTCGAATCCGTTAATTTTACGTGTGCTCAAGTCAAACGATCAAACCGTTATCAGAGATTCAGAATTTTCTTCTCCTTTAGAATGTTTCGCATATCGATCTACCACATATCATTCAGTCATTTGCCGTTTTCACAAACTGTATTATTTCATTTTTTTACAATTTTCAAATATATTTCCGAATAAAATTATACATAAATGATACTCTCTCTATTTCTAAATAATAAATTTTTATAATTTTTATACATATTAAGAAAACACATTAATAATTGATTATAAATGTATTATTTTTTGTGATTTACAATTTTCTACATATAATTCTAAAAAAATAGTATTCAATTATTTTTCTTCAAATTTATAATTCATCAATAATAACTAATAAATATTGCATAGAAAACTTTAAAACTCTATATTTGTGAAACAATTTTTTTTCTAGAAAATAGTACATTATAAACAGAGGGTGATCTCGTATATACATATATGTTGACATATTGTTAACAAAAATCAGTAAATATATGATTTAGTCCTCTAATTTAACTTAGTTTTGTTTATGCATTTAATGATTAGTAAGACTACTGTATTTATTTTTATAGCTATGCTCACATTTAATGGAAAGTAACGGAAATTAGCATATGTACAAAATGAAAATTTTACGTGTTACGTAACAAAAAAAACGACTCAACCCTCTATATTTGACTGATTGTAATTCAAATTTCAAATAGTGGAAAATGCAATAAAAGACCTACACGTGTAGTTTCATATATCTCTTATTATTTAAACTTTATCACCTTCTTTTTTTTTTTTTTTTTTTGAACAAAAACTTTATCACCATCTTAATATTTTTTTTAAGTATGAAATCCATGAAAAAAATGGAAAAAGATGTAAGTAAAAGAAAGAAATTGTGAACTTATCCTTGAACTTGACAAAATAGGAATTACAAAGTAATATGTTTTGTCACGAGATATATACCATCTACTTCTAATTTTTATCTACACACGACAAACATTCATATATTTAGCTTTTCCAGTAAACAGAAACTTATTTGTTACTTAAAAATTATTCTTACACTTGACAAAAACAGGAATTCCAAATAGATTAGTACCGTATGACACGAGATAAGTACCATCTTTTTTTTTGTTTTTTGACACCAAGACAAATACCATTTATAATAATTTTATTGCAATAGTAGCATATGACTTGTCACACGACAAATGTACCACTAGTAATATATTTTACCTTTTCCGGCAAACAAATCTTATTTGTTTCCTTATTTTTTACGACCTTAAAATTTATATTTTTGTGATATGATATTATGAGAAGCCCTCGTATGTGTGTACTTTCAAAGATATCGACCTTACGCCACTAAAAAAAAAGAATTCAAGTTGTAAGATATAAACAAGAGAATAGGAATTAGAAGAAAAAGCCAAATTTGCCCTTCAATTCCATAGCTTTGGAAGATCCCACAGAAACACATTCCATGCATCCCAGTCTCTCTCTCTCTCTCTTCTTTCTCTCGATTATAAAATCAAACACAATCTGTGATGTGAAGTCGGTTCTGTCCTTATAAATACCCATTAAGACTTCCTTCTCTCACCAAGTACTCTCACCTCTCTTTCTCATCATCTCTTCTTCACTAAGTCCTTGACAGAGAATTTTAAGCCATGTCTCTTCAATATCATGCTCTAAACTCCATTCAAAGTACAAACTTTCTCAGTTCTACTAAAACAACATTATCTTCTTCTTTCCTTACAATCTCAGGTGAGTCATCCTCTTTCTCTCTCTCTCTCTCTTGTCAGAGACATACGATCACACACAATCATGATCTGTCTTTTTTTTTCATTTATAAGTTATCGTCCAAGTCTCAAACTTTGTTTGCAATCGAAATCTTCTTGTGGGTTTAATCATGATGCGTTCCTTGACTGAGTTTTCGATGTATTTTTTGATTTTGGGTTTTTGATTTTTCCTAGAGAACAAAACAAAAATAGAGTGATGACTCTGTTTTTATGTTCTCTCAATACCCACGCGTGAAGTATCTCTCATCATCATCATCATCATCATCATCATCAATACTACTCTCTACTTTCGATTTTTTGTTTTCTCTTTCTTCAAAGCATTATAGAATCATTAACTACTCTCCAAAATTCTCTCTGTTTTTTCTTTGTTTCCCAAAAATTCGATTTGTTTATCTTTTTCGTTATTTGGGGTTCTTTGACTCAATAGGAAATGTTTTTTTCTCTGGCTTTACAAAAAAAATAAAAAAATGTAAGTGTGTTATTGGGTCTCTCTTGATTTTTGAACAAAACAAACATTATTGTTTTTAGTTTGAATTTTTTTTTGGTATAAAAAAAATTATTTATGAGTACACTCTGTTTTTTTTATTATATGATTATAAGAAGTTTATCAATTTGAATTAATTTATTATTACAAAACGTACGTTTAGAGAATCTAGTACTCATTAGAGAATGGATTGACCTCGTATCTCCTTATTATAATTGCCAACACACATAAAGATCCCCTTTGGAAGCCTAATAAACTAATGTTTTGACGACCAAAAACTAGTTTAGTAGTTTATCTTTTTATAACATAGTAAAGCAAATTATTTTATTATTACTTTCTTATTTCTCTAAGATCTTCTTCTTTCTTTGGATAGGATCTCCTCTCAATGTCGCTAGAGACAAACCCAGAAGCGGTTCTATATATTGTTCAAAGCTTCGAACTCAAGGTCTAATTTTATAAATATTAAGCTTTTCCAAAAAATTTCAAGTCTAAATTTATCTCTTTTTATAAGAAGCTAAAAATATATATGATTTTTTTTTTCTTTGGTGTCTAGAATACACTACTTCTCAGGAGGTTCAACATGATCTGCCTCTAATACAGTGGCAACAGCTTCAAAGAGAAGATGCTCCTCAGGTGATTTTTTGGAATAAAATTTCTACTTTTCTCTTAAAAGCATTTTTAGCTACATTCTTCCTATTCTTTTTACCGTGATTTATACATTTTCCCCCGGATTTTATACTTTACATTCCATCAAAATATAGTTTTTATGTTTTACACCGAAAGGTAACAAAACTATATATACACATACATCATGGTTTAAATTGAAACATTTTTCATGATTCTATGTGCTGATAATTATTTTTTGCATTTGAATCATAGATTAGTATTGGAAGTAATAATAATGCGATCGAAGAAGCAGTGAAGAGTGTGAAATCGATCTTGAGAAACCTAACTGACGGGGAAATTACGATATCGGCTTATGATACCGCTTGGGTTGCATTGATCGATGCCGGAGACAAAACTCCGGCGTTTCCCTCGGCCGTGAAATGGATCGCCGAGAACCAACTCTCCGATGGTTCTTGGGGTGACGCTTATCTCTTCTCTTATCATGATCGTCTCATCAATACACTTGCATGCGTCGTTGCTCTAAGATCATGGAATCTTTTTCCTCATCAATGCCACAAAGGTTATTTTTTCTTTTTTCGAAATACAAGAAAACAGAAAGAAAATCTTAACTTTTTGCAGAAAATCCAAACTTTTTTAGTGGCCTAAAAAGAAAGTATACGTTATTTAAATAGTTATAAGTTAATTAGTCTAGTTTTCAACAAAAAATAAGTCTAGTCAGAACATAAGAGTTTGAATCTTTTTTTTTCTTTCTATAATCATTCAATATATTAGATCTTTAATTTAGTAGTTAACTAGTTATTCATACTCAAATAATTTGACATTTCTATTAAATATGCATGACTTTTGAAGTAATATTCAGGAATCACGTTTTTCCGGGAAAATATTGGAAAGCTAGAAGACGAAAACGATGAGCATATGCCCATCGGATTTGAAGTAGCATTCCCATCGTTGCTTGAGATAGCTCGAGAAATAAACATTGATGTACCGTACGATTCTCCAGTCTTAAAAGATATATACGCCAAGAAAGAGCTAAAGCTAACAAGGTATGTGTGTTGGGCCAAAATTTACATTTGAACATTCTATTTTTATATGAATATATTGCAAAGTATATATATGGGTCCAATGTACTTCACTCAAAAGCCAAGAAAAAAGAGTTACACGATAATATATTTGCATACGTAATATATATATAGTATAGACTAAGATATGAATTGATTTTGGTCGTACATGTGAGATCTTTTTATAGGATACCAAAAGAGATAATGCACAAGATACCAACAACATTGTTGCATAGTTTGGAGGGGATGCGTGATTTAGATTGGGAAAAGCTCTTGAAACTTCAATCTCAAGACGGATCTTTCCTCTTCTCTCCTTCCTCTACCGCTTTTGCATTCATGCAGACCCGAGACAGTAACTGCCTCCGGTATTTGCGAAATGCCGTCAAACGTTTCAATGGAGGAGGTTTGTTAGCTAGTAACCACTTGTCCTATTATATCTATTGAAGTCATATACGCATAACATCTACTTTTTGTTCACTAATATATTTTTGTTTAAATTATTCTTTTATTTTTTCAGTTCCCAATGTCTTTCCGGTGGATCTTTTCGAGCACATATGGATAGTGGATCGGCTACAACGGTTAGGGATATCAAGATACTTCGAGGAAGAGATTAAAGAGTGTCTTGACTATGTTCACAGGTTTAAAAAACGTTATATATACGTATATGTATTAACTTTATTTTTGTACCAAACTAGAGTTACTCTAATGATGATGATGATGATAAAATATCAGATATTGGACCGACAAAGGCATATGTTGGGCTAGATGTTCCCATGTTCAAGACATCGACGATACAGCAATGGCATTTAGGCTCTTAAGACTTCATGGATACCAAGTTTCCGCAGGTAAAAACTCATATCTTTTTGGTAATTTATCTTAACATTTGACATAAACAAACGTTCATTTTTTGATTTTAGATGTATTCAAGAACTTTGAGAAAGAGGGGGAGTTTTTCTGTTTTGTGGGGCAATCAAACCAAGCGGCGACCGGTATGTTCAATCTATACCGGGCATCACAATTGGCGTTTCCAAGGGAAGATATATTGAAAAACGCCAAAGAGTTCTCTAATAAGTATCTGCAAGGAAAACGAGAGAGAGACGAGTTGATTGATAAGTGGATTATAATGAAAGACTTACCTGGCGAGGTACGTTACATGTAATATAAGACCAAAAACACACGTTACTACAAATGCTTCCAAAAAACATTGCATTTACACATACGCACTGCATGCCGTTTTGGGGTCGTCTGATGGAGAAGGAATACGACAAAGCGTGTTTGGCCTTTTTTGCTTATTGATTTTCTTATCCTGATATATTTTTTCTGCATATTAGATTGGCTTTGCGTTAGAGATTCCATGGTACGCAAGCTTGCCTCGAGTTGAGACGAGATTCTATATTGATCAATATGGTGGAGAAAACGACGTTTGGATTGGCAAGACTCTTTATAGGTACTTATTATTCTTTGATTTTGAAAAATATAATTATTTTGCATATATAGACCATATGAATCCAAAACAAATGCAATATTGCACTCCCTAAATGTCAAAATGCATGCATGACATGACCATGTATATTTGGGGCATAACTGTATTTTGGTCATCGGTTTTATTTATATGACCTAGGTGAGTTTCATCTGGAGGAACCAAATTTAATTATTTGCTAATATTCTAACAATGGTGTATTTTTTTCTATGTTTAACTAAAATTGCCTGTAGTTGTAACTCTTTATTTTTCTATGCAATTGCATGTATTTAATCATGATATAAATTAATTAATCAATAATGATGGTGGACAATGTAGGATGCCATACGTGAACAATAATGGATATCTGGAATTAGCAAAACAAGATTACAACAATTGCCAAGCTCTGCATCAGCTCGAATGGGACACATTCCAAAAGTAATAGCATCTTCACTCTTCATTCTTTTTCATTAAGTATGGCTTTAACTGGTGATTGTGTGTATATATATTAAGTTAGTTAATTTGTTTTTTTTTTCTTTTTTTCTTTCATATGCGAAAAATAATAAAGTACAGTATGAAACTTTACTTCTGGTTAATTAATTAGTAATACACTATTTTCTGGTTAATGACCTTTTTTTTTTTTTTTTTTTTTTCTCTTTTCTTATTTTAAGAATCGGAAACAAAAGCTCAAACTGCAATTATTTTTAATAGAGAGGTCAGTTTGATTAGTGGCTGAAAAAACAAAAACGTGACTCAATTTAAACCTTACATTTATATTATTTTTCTTCTTATTTGTTATTAGTATATATATACAATATGTATATTCAATAATAATTCAATATAGTTTGTATTTGTACGCAGGTGGTATGAAGAAAATAGGTTAAATGAGTGGGGTGTGCGCAGAAGTGAGCTTCTCGAGTGTTACTTCTTAGCGGCTGCAACTATATTTGAATCAGAAAGGTCACATGAGAGAATTGTTTGGGCTAAGTCAAGTGTATTGGTTAAAGCCATTTCTTCTTTTGGGAAATCCTCTGACTCCAGAAGAAGCTTCTCCGAGCAGTTTCATAAATACATTGCCAATGCTCGACGAAGTGATCATCACTTCAATGGCAGGTAAATTACTCTTACGAAACATATGTTTTATATTTTCTCTTATTTATTACTTTAATTTTAATATATAGTTCAGACAAGATCATAAGATCCGATTATTAAAAATAAAAAAAAAGATCATAAGATCTATATTGCACTAGCATTAAACATACGTCATTTGGAAATATTTGACTTAACCGTACCAATGAATTTTCTCTTTTTTGGATTTAGGTATTCAAAACTGTTCGGCAAATTTTTTTGTCTTAGGTTCTAGCTTCTTTTCTTTATGGCCTTTTTGTCCGGCAAAAAAAGCTTAAACTATTAAAATCACTCAAAACTAGAGTTTATATATTTTCCATCTAGTGGTTTTCGTTTTTAACCGTATTCGTGAGGGTACTGTTAGTTTTGCGGCAGAAAACACCAAGCTAGATATATATGAAAAACAAATCTCGCCGATTAATTAATTTAAAAATATTAAGTTCATATATTTGACCTAATTTAGAAAGAAGAAAAAACTGTCCTTTTCATCGCACTGGTGATGTGCAGATAATTTTTTCAATATATACGGCGTTTTCCGCCATGCAAACAGAGATATAACTTCATTAGAATATAATATTTTTTATTGGTTAAGATCAGAGATCAATTCTCTCATTCGATAACGATAAAAATTGGTGACGTGTATAACAACAAAACAAGAAACATCTGGAGGCCTAAACTGTAAGAAATGAAAGTTCCAATACCACAAACAAACAAAAGGAATTTATCCTTTAAAATAAAAACAACAAAAGGTAAAATTTGAGATTTATATGTGTGATATTTAATCTTTCGAAAAATGAAAAGGGGAGTCAAATTAAAGAAGAAAGAAAGCTCTGGTAGAGTCAGCTGATTGACTCATTTGTCTATATATATTATTATTTTTTGAGAAACCTAACTGCATGATGGATATGAAAAATCAGGAGCATGAGATTGGACCGACCAGGATCGGTTCAGGCGAGTCGGCTTGTCGGAATCTTAATCGGAACTTTGAATCAAATGTCTTTTGACCTTTTCATGTCTCATGGCCGTGACGTTTACAATCTCCTCTATCAATCGGTACGTCTCTCTCTTTCGTATGAAATTTTAACAAGAATACACACATAATAGAGTAGGTCACAAATTAGTGCCCAATAATTAATTAGAATAAGTCACAAAACAATACCATGTTTTTATTGCATTTTTTTTTATCAAGAACAATTAACTCGCCTTGTTGAATACTGAAAGTTTGGAACGAACTTGATTTCTCGTTTGTGAATTCGAGTCCCGGATCGCTTAGCGTGTGGTTGAAAAAATAAAGAGAACGAAATTTTATGATTTTTAATTACATTAAACAAATATAATATTCTAGACAAATAGAAGAATAACAAGCAATGAGCTAGGATCGATCATTCTCAATGAAAAGAAATCTTTTTGCATTTCATTGTCTGATTTATCAATTGTAATTTATATATATATATATATATATATATATATATATATAGTGGGGAGATTGGCTGGAGAAATGGAAATTATATGGAGGTGAAGGAGAAGAAGGAGAGCTCATGGTGAAGATGATAATTCTAATGAAGAACAATGACCTAACTAACTTCTTCACTCATACTCACTTTGTTCGTCTCTCGGAAATCATCAATCGCATCTGTCTTCCTCGACAATACTTAGAGGTTAGTTTATTAACTAGTTATACTATATTATTATTATTATTATGCTTTGGTTCTCCACTAGCATTTAATTTGTAATCTTCATGGGTTATTTTTTTTCAAATACGATTGAACCATGATTTTTTTATGAATAAATTTTATATCCTTTGAAAAAATATATATTATATTATTATGAAACTGTACTCATTTTATATGCTTTTACTTTGTTAATTAAAAAGAAATTAAAACAACTCTTTTTTTTTCCCATAAATTTGGTCTTATAAGTACGATGTCCAAAACCATAACTGTTTTGTTTATGCTGTGGACCGAACCAACAAATAATCAATTGAAAATGAGTGATCCATTCGATGTTATCGGTTAGAATCTAATCAATTATTAATTGTCTTAATGCAGGCAAGGAGAAACGATGAGAAGGAGAAGACAATAAGGAGTATGGAGACGGAGATGGAGAAAATGGTTGAGTTAGCATTGTCGGAGAGTGACACATTTCGTGTCGTCAGCATAACGTTTCTTGATGTAGCAAAAGCCTTTTACTACTCTGCTTCATGTGGCGATCACCTCCAAACTCACATCTCCAAAGTCTTGTTTCAAAAAGTCTTGTAACCTTATCATCATTGATCCATTAATTAATCAGTGGATCGATATGTATCCATACATGCGTGAATAATATTCATGTAGAGAAGGAGAACAAATTAGATCAAATGTACATATTAATCAAACCTTTGATTATCCATTTGCCTCCATTTAATATATATATATATATATATATATATATATATATATATATATATATATATATAAGGGTAGTTAATTTAGACTCTAAATTCTGAGTTCTTCATTTTGCTTTTATGAATTCAGACTTTTAAATTTGTATACAGCAAAACTATTAATTAACAGTTGGGACTATGATATTTTATTAGTTTATCGAGTTATTAATTTATCGATATACAAATTACTTGTAAAACCAAATTTAGGACCAAAGAAATGTATTGATTTATCGAAATATTGATTTATCGATTATTAATTTATAGAGGTTATACTTAGTTTAAAACTTTAAATACTGTAATTTTAATTAGGGTAAGATTGAAAATTCAACGTTTTAGATACTTTAATTAAAAAATTCACCAGAATTTGATCCTATAAATCTGAGCTCCAAAGTTCTTATTCCTTTGTCTATACTTTTGGAGTGGGTATGTAAACTTATTTTCCTTCATTTTCTCAACTTCGACTTGTAGTATTTTTGGCATCCGAGATAAGTCTTGGAATTTTTTGTAACTCTACAATGTAACTATATATCAGTGGCCATAATCTAAATGTGATTTGCTGAAGAAACATAGGAAGTGATGTATAGTGGGGTTGTTAATAAGAGCCAAAGACTCATGCAGTTGTCATGTCAAAAAGACCTCTCACTTTTCTAGAGATTATAATTTAGTTTTTTTTTTTTTTTTGTGTGTTTTTGTTTGTCGTGAGTTGCCTTTGAAAAGGATTTTTAGTGTGGCAGAGACAAGCTCCACTTTAGAACACATGATCTTGATGACTAGGTTTTGTTCTCTTTTCTTTGGACATCAAACACTCAACTTATTAAGACACTATCATATCTATGTAGATTCTCGTTGGGTAAAAAAAAATTTATGTCGACGATGAAAGCATAATAACTTTGGGGAGGGACTAAATTTTTGGGGAAGGATTTTCTAAAGATCTTGATATTCGAAGTCAAGAATGCGAGTCTTGATGTTGGGCTAAAGTAATTATGCCTTAGGAAAACTATAAAAACAAACAAATGAAAACATTATTTTTCTTATATATAAAACATAAGTATCTAGCGTAAAAAGATTATATAACTATAAGAATTTTTTTTCACCAAGTGGTGAAATATAAGCAGAATCCAAAGTAATTACTACTTAGTTTATATCTATATTTCGCTATGAAGTATATGCATGTATCACCAGTACTCATACTCTATACATGGTTTTAGATACTCTACCATATACATATAGTTAGATAAGTATTGCCATTTACATGAAAGAATCATATACTTTTGATATCCAATTTTAGCATTTTCGTAGGAGAAAGTTTATAATCTAAGCAACACCAAAATCAATTAAACTAACATATTTCTTTTTATTTATACGCAAACCAAATTGAAACATAATAAAATCAAGTAAAGTACAACCATACCGACAATTTTTTTTTTAACTATTGTTTTCTATATATAATGATGTTGATGTAAATTAAGATTTATTAATTCAATTATATTTTATGTTTTTTTCTTTTTATAATAAAAATAATATTAAATTAATGTTAAGTTTTAAATTTAGTATCTTACAAAAACAAGTTATAAATTTAGTAACATTATTTTGAATCGAAGCCCTCGCACTCACCTAAAATTCTATTTTTTTCTGAACTATTTGTGATAACGGATAAATTAGTAATCATATCCCAACCGAATTACTCGACAAAGTGGGATTGACATGTTTGGTTTGAATTGGGACCCTAAGGGACAAAACTAAAAGAAGTTTGGTAATGGGCAAAGAATGTAAAGCAATTTGGAGTTGATGGTCAAATATAGCAAAAATATGGGCCAAGACATAAATGGAGAGACATTACACACAACATTTTTACATATAGAAGTTTTGGACTTTATATATCTCAACCAATCTTTCTTTCTTTCGCTTTATGATAATGTTTTATTTTATTGGGTCACCGTGAAAATGTTTTATATTTAAAAAACATTTTTTTTGGCCAGGATACAAAAAACATGTTATCTGTGCAATGTGGCTCAAAACATTTTTGATCCCACATATAGTTACTTAAATAACATGAAAATCAAAAATCAAAACTTGTTTTTTCATAGCACCATCAAACGTCACAAATTTGAGGTCACACAATTGAAATATCATGCACCCATGTTACACGAGAATTATATCTTATACCATCAATTTTCTTTTCTTTTAAAACAGTTTGGTGCATTAATTTAAAGTAAGCAAATAGTACCAAGTCCTAGAGAACATAAAGTAGTTTTTTACATAATAGAGGTTAGAGGATAGTATTGGGAAGTAGGTGATTTACATTGGAGTAAGCAATTGATAAGAGTAGGGAAGAGAAGGATGTTGTAGATTTGAAGCTCTATGTGCCTCGTCCACCTCTTCCTTGTCGCCCTTATTTAACACAACTACCTTGGACGATAGTTCAATGCATGTCTTGAACCTTTTGAGTTGGTTTTAGGAGCCGGCCTCGAAGGGTTCTTTGGATTGAAACTCTTATACCATTTCACATTTTCCCGGCCTCGAAGGGTTCTTTGGATTGAAACTCTTATACCATTTCACATTTTCATAGCTTTAAGTATTGAATTTATACACGATTAATTAAAATTCAAAGACGATTCTAAGCAATGCACAAAAAATCAATGTGGTCCCGAAACTCATAATTTGGTTCAGTTTTGGCAGCTTGGTTTACGTTTCAAGAGAACTCCAAGACTTGCTTCATTTTCTACAAGGCAATAATAATAGGTTAGTTTTTTTATATTATTATTATTATTATTATTATTATTATTATTATTATTATTATTATTACCATCATCATAAAGAATAATCACCACACTAACCTATTCTAACTCACAAAACATCTACCTTTAGGTTTTGGATCCGAAAGTCACCAAGTTTTTGTCGAAACTTAAAATCCCTTCAAAACGCCTTCTAAGGTGACACACAATCGAGAAGAAGAAACTCCTCACTTTGTGTTGGCTTAGATTTAAGTAAACGGTTAAAACTTCAAAACCCTACAAGATGATCATGTTACTGTATACAAAATATAAAAAATTAAAAAAAAACAGAAAGTAATTTGTCTTCCACATCCTTTAACAAAAAAACAAAAAAAAATTGTCTACCATTACATGTACCATCGGAAACGAGTCTAACGAGGCGAGCGCCTGAAAGCAAGACAACTAGAGTAAGTAAATAATTTAAGCCTTACATTAGATTTGGGATGAATATTATTTTCTAGAGTTTTCACACATATTAAGAACTCAATTATTGTTTAATCATTTTAACACTGTTTTTGATATTAAATATTTTTAATAATTATCAATCAATAGTATTTTAAGAAAGTTAATGATTTATATTCGGAAAAATGGGTTAAAAAACTCTCACCTTTCTTAAAAACGTATTAAAAACCCTCAACTTTTTTTTGTGGGTTTTTAAACCCTCACCTTTTCATAAATGATAAAATAAACCTTATTATTAATAAACTCAATTTAAATTCAAAAAAATAGTTACATTTAAACATAAATAAATATGAACAATTTGATTTAGGAATTTTCTTATAAAATTCTTGTTTACAATCTTTTGATAAATTGAAAATTTTTAAGTATGATGTAGAAAAGTTAATTAATGAAGTTGTATTTGGTTGTGTTACGAAAAATTATGTATAGAAATTCTTATACCGAACAAAATATGAGTTTATGTTAATAAAGGTGTATTCGGTTCGATCACACAAATATACTAATGTGAGACCAAACCAAATTTTATAATACTACAAAAAGTACATGAATTTGTACATCAAAATATTTTCGTTGGACGAACAAAATAAGATTTACTAACAGTATATATATATATATATATATACATATATCACAATATACTAAAACTATAATATAAATTACATTTAGCTAATCGTTATTTAACTATATTTTATCCAAAAACTGAAAATTCGAACAAAAAAAAATCAAATGTGCTAATTGTCTAATGGTAACAAAAGTTATTTGTGTAATCTCAACTAAATTGTGAATAAATTTTTATAGCGCAAAAACCTTAAATTTAGAAAAACAAATTGCAAACGAATTTGGAAAAAAAAATCATAGTTTTTTTTGTTTCTTAATGTTTTAATATAACGATAAAAAAAAATTAAGTTGAGTTTACTATTATTAGGGTTTATTTTAACACTTATGAAAAGGTGAGGGTTTAAAATCCCACAAAAAAAGTTGAGGGTTTTTTACATGTTTTTAGGAAAAATGAGGGTTTTTTACCCATTTTTCCTTTATATTCATTGCATCTTAAAGTTTATAATTTACTAATATAAGTAATAAAAATAAAATAAAAATGCTAAAAAAATCAATTTTTATGAAACAAAGGTAGAAAATATCAATGTTTTAGAAATAGAAGAGTAGTAATAACCCTTGTTCTAAAAATCGGCCGCCTAGCCGCCTAGGCGCTGATCGGAGGAGCACCGCGGCGATTTTGTCCAAATCGGTGAGAAAAATTGGAGATCCGATTTTTTGTCCGCCTAGACTGTCTAGGCGGCCGCCTAGCCCGCCTAGACGGCGCCTAGCCCAATTTTTTTTTTTTTTTTTACTTTTTTTATCTAAAATTCAAAACGTCATACTTATGTTCGTAATTTGTATAAAAATCATAAATTTGAAATTAAAATCTTGTTTTCATGTGTTTAATATAATTTTAAAAACAATATTATATAAATTTCTTAATTATAATGGATTAATATGTTTTTAAAACATTAAATAGCCCTAAAACTAATCCCCGTGTACTTTCCAATTTTTTTGCTAGGCGCTAGGTGCACCCTCACTGCCCGACTAGCGCCTAGCGATTTTTTAAACACGGGTAATAACGATTAGCTAGAATCTGGGAAAACCACTGACGCACCAGTGCCGTTTCAAGCTTTTCCAATGACCCAAATTTCTTTCGGTACATTAATTTAGTACACATTAAAGAAGAAAAAAAGAATCTGGGAAGACCATCTAAGATCGATATCCAATCCATAAATACGTAGTAAGATTTTGATTCAGGCCCAAGTTTTCAATCATGTAAGCCCAAGGCCCAGTACATATAGATGATCAATCCAAATGCATTTTTAGTTATTTCCATGTCCTAATGATCTATGATGTTCGAGATTAGCCCTTCAGGCCTTAATTTGTATTGTACTATTGAAAAGAAAAAAAAAAGGAAATGAAAGAATCAAAGAATCATAGAAAGATGAAAAACGACGTCGGATAATATCAGAATAAGATGGGTAAGAGAAAAATCTAATGGTTGAATCCTATTGGTCACCTTATCCACTTAATCCAACAATCTCTAGCTTCTCATTTCACAATATTATCTCTTTTCTCTTCTCATCAAAACATATCATCAAGCAATTTGCTCATTAGAGAACAAAGACAGAAAAAAACAATGGCAACTCAAGCCGCCGGGATCTTCAACTCCGCCATAACAACCGCCGCAACCTCCGGCGTCAAGAAACTCCACTTTTTCTCAACAACCCACCGTCCGAAATCCCTCTCCTTCACCAAAACCTCAATCCGCGCCGAGAAAACAGATTCCAAAGCCGCTGCAGCCCCCGCCGTGAAAGAAGCTCCCGTGGGATTCACGCCACCGCAGCTAGACCCAAACACACCGTCTCCGATCTTCGCGGGAAGCACCGGTGGTCTTCTGCGTAAAGCACAAGTGGAAGAGTTCTACGTTATTACATGGAACTCACCAAAAGAACAGATCTTTGAGATGCCGACAGGAGGGGCAGCGATCATGAGAGAAGGTCCGAATCTGCTGAAGCTAGCGAGGAAAGAACAGTGTTTAGCTTTGGGGACAAGGCTTAGATCCAAGTACAAGATTACGTACCAGTTTTACAGAGTGTTTCCTAATGGTGAGGTTCAATATCTTCACCCTAAAGATGGTGTTTATCCAGAGAAGGCGAATCCAGGAAGAGAAGGTGTTGGTCTGAACATGAGATCTATTGGGAAAAATGTTAGTCCCATTGAAGTTAAGTTTACTGGCAAACAAAGTTATGATTTGTAAGATGTCAAAATTAAGAAACCAAAACTATGTGCATGTGGTGATGACTATGTTTCATGTTAATTTTTAATGGATTTTGTTTCAATAATTTTTCTTGTATTTGTTTTCTTTTGTTATTCCATTTAGTTTTTTTTTTTTTTTTTTTTTTTTTTTTTAGAGCACACGCAGTGGTACATTTTTTCCTCGGGTGTGAACATTAAAGTAATTGAAAATAAGAGAAAAGTGAGATTGGAGTCGCAAGTCGGATGTAAGGTTACATCCGGATGTGGGATTGACGTGGCAGCGTCTGGTTGATCTTTTATTTTTTGTAATTGGAAAATTAAAATCATTTGGGGGAGAAAAAAATTTGGGGATCTACGGTTTCTTTCCTTATCTCTCTCGACACGAAGCTTGGTCCGATAGTTCGATTCCGATTTCTCTCCGATTTGAAGCTGTTTTCCGACCAAACAACCCGAAAATCGATCTCATCTCGACCATTTAATCATTCTTTGCTTTCAATTAGTTAGAATCCGTTCCAAAATCGCCTCGTCTGTCTCCTCTGGGTCTCATCTCCTCTGGGTCTCATCGCATCCTCTGTCTCCGGCGAGATACAGTAGGTAAATCGTCATAATCTTTGTGTTAGAACTCGTTTTTGGTTGTTGAATCCGAAGAGTTGTTGCTTTTGTTATGATTAGTGAGTTATTGATGAAGAAATATAGGTTTACAAATGAATTTCTTATGAGATTTCGGTTTTGATATGTAATGGAAACTGATATATTTCATGATATCTGTTTCAGTATTGATTAAAGTTAGACTTGGTAGATTATGTGAATAGAGTATGTCGGGTTCTCAAATTTTTTGGTTCATCAAGTTTTGGTTCAGTTCTATGTCTTTGTTGATTAACCTTAACTGTGATTTTGCTTTGTTTCTGAGGTTGCAAGGTGAGTGTAGCAGGGAAACTTCAATCTGGAAAGAAACAACTACTCCCACTAATAACAGAACAGCAAAAAGGTATGTCACATTACTCCATTTAGTTAATGTTAGAGACAACTAGTAATTGGACCATCTTGTGTGCATGTTTTCAGTGGTTCTTTGTGTTTGTGATCAACTAGTAGTAGTTCTTTGTTTTCAATTGATTAACCATTCACAAACAACTACTATTTGGTTAATGTTTTTGTATTTGAATTCAAAAGGAACAAGCCAAGCAAGTCATGTTTGCTAGATATCAGGGAGATTTGTGATGTGATTCGTATGGAATTATTTGTTGTTTTTTGGTTGTGTAATTTAAATTAAAAAATAACCAAGTACACTATGAATTAAATGGTCTTGTTACCAACTACACACTTTTTCATCTTACTTCTCATTTGAAAGAAGTAATAAAAGTTATAGCTAAGAATTAACTAGTCTTGTTCATCAAGAACTAGACCACTTCCAACAAAGTAAAGCTCAGTAGATTTAGCTACTAAAATAGGTGTTAAAGAGATTTAAATGAAGTGGTACAAGTTGTTTCTACTTACTTTTAAAGACATTGTAAAATATAAATGTAGAAGTGAAAGTTAACCATTTCTAGTAGAATTCAATGAACAGCTTAATGGTACTTGATAGCTTTGATGGTGTTAATGGTATTTACTATTGATGTGACTAAGATAGTTAATGGTTATCTAAACACTTTACTACTTCCCAACGACCTTATAAAACATAGCAATTCTTAGCAATTTATTCAAACTTCTATTTGTCTCTTCTTTGCTTTATCCTTTACCAAACAATCCGTTTTAACATCTTCTATCTCTTCTTCATCTCTTCTCTTTACTGATTCTTATGGATTCAAACAATGTTCCAAACAATCAGTGTCCCGGACCATACATTAGTCTTTCAAACTTTCCTTATGACTCATTCTATCCTAATGTAACATCACAAATACCGTCTTTTACTTCCCAACCGACTCATGCTCCAACTCACCCTCAAATCCTTTCATTTGGTTCTGAAACGGGTCATGCTCAGACTCAACCTGAAATGTCACCAAGTGAGCGTAGGCAGAAAAGGCTATGATCTGAACCAGATGACTTGGTCCTCATCAGCGGTTGGTTGAACACATCCAAGGATGTGATTGTTGGCAATGACCAAAGGTCAGGAACCTTTTGGGTGCGTATAACTGACTACTATGCTTCAAGTGACCATGTCCGCAAAGGTGCTGAGCCAAGGGATACTGACAGCTGCAAGCAAAGATGGGGAAAATTAGTAGAGATGTGAGCAAATTCTGTGGCTCATATGCTTTTGCATTGGATGCAAAAGCCAGTGGTCAGAATGATAATGACATTCTGACCTTGGCTCACCAAACCTACAAAACAAACAACAAGAACAAGAAGTTTACGCTTCAGCATGCCTGGAACGTCTTGAGGTATGAACCTAAAATGGTGTAGCTGGATTGAAATGAACCCTACTAGCAAGACAACTAGCAAGACAACCAGCAACAAAAGGAAATCTCGTGATGCTTCAGCATCTGTGGGATCAACAATAGGTGAGGAAGAGAGTAGGCCTCCTGGTGTTAAAGCAATGAAAAAAATGAGGAAGAAGGGTAATCAGAAGGCTGCACAATCTGTAGACTTTAACAACATGTGGGAAGCCAAACAGAAGGATATGAAGCTAAAGAAACAGTGTCAACAGATGTCCCTTCTAGACACACTCATTGCCAGAAAGGAAACACTTGATGAAGAGGAAATAGCTCTGAAGAAGAAGTTAGTTGCTGAAGTTTATGGTTCACTGTAGACTTGTAGTATTATTTATGAACTATCTCCTGTTTTTATTATGTATGATTTAATTTCTATGTGTTGGTTTAATGTTTGCTTGAGAAGCATGTACCTTGTTTTCCCTTGTGTTCTTGGTTTTTATTTTCTGGTCATATAATTTGCAGACCATGTGTTCTTGTTTTTGGTTGTAGGTTGAAGAAGACATGGGACTTGGTGATAGCTACGACTATGGAATCAACAGCCCTTTGGACTACAGTTCTGAAGAAGAAGACATGGGACTTGTTGATAGCTACAACTATGGAATCAACAGCCCTTTGGATTCAACTGAGACTTTCTCTTTGAAGTTTAGTGGATGAACGTGACAGGTTCACTTTACTTATTTTGTACACAAGAAGTCACTATCTCAATAATTTGATGCAGGGTTATTTTGTACACAAGAAGACAATGTTCCAAAGTTGGAACCACAAGTAAAGAAGTCACTTGTCTCTTTTTTGGACCACAAATATGAGGAGTCACGGGTTCACCATGCTTCACCAAGTCCTATATATATGCCAACGTTTTGCCTATCAAACTAAAACCACAATATTCGCTTCTTCTTTCCTATCTAAACACACATATAATTCTCTCAGAAAACACATCCATTCTTTCATAAAACACTTCCAAAACACACAAAGGTGTTGGTTTCTCTTCAAAAAATTCAACCTTCTCTTATAAACACATTGTTCTACCTTGTATTTTTTTCGGGTTTTATGGCATCGTCTTCTTCCAATACTTTTCACTATCATTATGACTCCAATAATGATGAATTTGACCAATATGTTCAAGAGCAATTCGATAATCTATGCGATGCTACTGAAGAGTTTCTGTTGGTCGAAAGGAAGACACGTACCTATATCGATAGAATTTTTAAAAAAAAACTTTCAATTGCTTAATTTTTTTTAAAAAAATTTCAATTACTTCATTATATTATTATAATATTACTTAGAAACATGTTCTACCAATAATCAACTACTTTAGAAACAAGTTCTAAACATAATTTCTTACATTATTTTATTATTAAATCCCCACTAACACACACCCACCCACATGCACCACTGTGGGTGCTCTTATAATTTAGTTTAATAAACTGAAATGGTTGAAACTCTTAAACAAAAACCAAATTTTATTAGAAAAACTGATTACATAAGTAATTTGGGAAGGCATGTGTTGGGCTTTAATAGGGCCGATTGAGTAGAAAAAGGTAAGCGTAAAATCATTATCGTAGCCCAACTAAAAAACCCAACGGTTCAATTTCAAACGGTCGGGTTTAAGGATTCGGATCTTCAATTCGCCGATCATCGTCTCACAAACAGCTCCGTCTCGTTCGCACAAACACACAAGTGACTTGACCGTTACGACGACTCGAACGATGGCCACGAAAGAGGAGTGATAGTTTCGTTTCCCATTCAGTGTTTTTCTCTCCGATCCAAAACCCTAGCGAGGTTCCGGTTGTTCCCGTGGCCGTAATCAACGCGTATCACATCTTCCTGATTATCCTTCACGCGACGGAGATAATTTAACTCAGGATCGTCTTATTTGTTGATCGTATAGATTAATTCGGCTCGCGTCTTCTCGATTTTGCCAACGTTGCTGTGGAATTGCGTTACCGTTCCCAATTTTCAACTCCTGGTACATGAGATAGTTCTCAAAATTGTTCACTGTTCGTGGAATCTTTTTGGCACTATTTCTCTTCCTTGCGTTTCTCAATCTATTGTGACGACTATGTTTAAGAGCGTTGTTCTTTCTTTTGGAGGATAAGTTTGGAGTCTTATCCTGAGATTAGGTCTTTTCGAGCGTCTATACAAAGTATGCCATATACTGTTTATGGCTACTCCCATATGGACTAAACAAAGTTGGTTGGTGATGAGCTTGTGCGTTCTAGGATTTGTAGTTGGGAATGCATTTGGTTTAGCTAGAGTTCATGCTGCACTTAGGTTTTAACTGCACACTTTACCTAAATAATATCTTCCAATTCTTCCAGTAAGAATTTCTCTTTGGGATTCGCTTATGCAACAAGATCTGTTGGGCTTGGTGCTTTTCTGCATCTTACATCTATTCGCTTTCAAATTCATTGTCTGTGTCCGCTACTGCATACGCCCTTAATCACTTATTTTTATTGTGACCTTTCCTATCTAACTTATTATTCTTTGATACTGAATCTGACTTGCTTAGTAAATGGTTCTACTGTTTTTTTGTTTGTGCTTGAGCATCTGGATTCTCATCTGATCTGTATTTTCTGTTTCATTCAAGTAGGAATCTCGTGAGAAGTCAACACCTTTACAGATTACTGAGGAGAGATTAACTGCCCCGTATGGTCAGCTTGTCCGTATATCTTACACTGATCTGAAGATTGTTTATTTGTAACTTGTAAGTATTCTTATTTTGAGAGCATCCCCTTATATATTACATTTAAAGAACAACCATTTATCAGGTCCAGACTTTGCAAAGTTTGTGACCAATACCTGACTGACTCTGAGATAATAGTTTGAGCTTGTTAAGTTTTTTTTTTCTCTATTCGGTAGATCTCGTTTGGCTTTCTGCCAATATCGATGATCAGTTCTCAACTTTCATCTTTTTGTGCAAACATTGGTCTTCCGGTGTGAATGGTGACACTGAAATGTATTTTATGATTCTGGTGTTTGTAGATTTCGCTTCCGGGATGAATAATTTGTTGCAGATTTACAGTGAAAGCGAGACATGTTCTACATGAAAGCACAGACATAATTTTGAGCATTTGGATATAAATTTTTTTTCTTGCATTCTATCCTTTCAAAGAAACTCCTTTTTAACATTCCTTGTCATGGACGCTCCCAATCCCAAGCGACCTTACCTTGCCCCTTTGGTTACCTACTCCATAGAAAACCCTTTTTCCCTCCCTATTGCTCCAGATTTCAACCAAAGCAACATTGATATGACTATCTCTTCTTTCCTTTCATTGTCCGACTTGCCTTTGTTCTCCTCACCGCTCTCCATAGGATGCTCTTTTGATCGAGTGCTTGATAAAGTCATCCCCTCAGCAGCTGGAACTTCCCGTGATGAATTTGATCAGGATCGTTTCCTGGATCGTACTCTCCAACTCGCATCGCTTCTTTACAAGTCCACCAAACGTTGCATAAGGAAACGTGCCACCCTCCAAAATTCCTCATCCTGGCCTCTCCTCCCTGAACTAACCACTAAGGTAACAATTCCAGCATTCTCATATCATGCGTTTTTCTGTTTTCTTGAGTGATGTCTCACATAATATGTCTAATGCATATTCAGGTCTTTTCAATGCTTGATACGAAGTCTCTCATGCAAGCTTCTGCATGTTGCACGTTGTTCAACAAATGTGCCATGGATCGTGTATGTTACTCCCACATCGACCTGACAACGGCTGTCGAAGATGTTGATAATGGAGTTGTGTGCGTAATGATCCATCGGGCTGGAAAAGAACTCAGGTGAGATTTTCTATTTCCGGGTTATCTTATTTTGGTGGACCTTGGTCTATGTATCTATGTAATCATCTCTCAGGTTTCATTTATACTTGCAGATCCCTCAAACTTGGTTCTATTTCTTCCTCAGCTGGATTTACTACATCTTCGCTGACAAGATCCTGTCTTACCCCACTAACTTTTAACCATGGTTTTGCTGGGTATTTGCTTGATTATCAAATATATACAAGTGAATATTTATGTACCAAACCTGTTACATTAATGTGATATGTGCTCTCTGATACAACTAGATAGGGATAATGGGTTTACTAGTTTTGTTGCTTGAATAATTGGTGTTAAAATTAACATCTTTATTTCATCTTCTGAGTGATACTATCTTTTTCCATTCAACTAGGGGTCATTTGAGAAGCCTACACCTTTACCATCTCAGAATGATGGATTGCGAGTCCTTATCTCCTGTGTTGTCAGCTTGTTTAAATCTCACTGATTTGAAGATTGTTGGACTGTAAGTTGTATTGGATAATTCAGGAATTCTCCAATTCAGTATTGCTTTGCTTTACTTTGCCTGGAGGCGCCATCTTCTATGCTTTTAATTTTTTTTGTTATTTGAATGTCTGTTCACTTTAAATTCTGCTGATTCCTTATGGTAATTACTTTTTTTTTTCCTACATTTTTGCATTATTTAGTATTCAAGGAAGCAGGTACAATCCACTTGAGCAGTTAGGTTTACTCACGAGAAATTGTCGCTTGTTAGAGCACCTGTTCATAGAGATATATGGTGCAGCAGGTATATGTTCCCGCTATGAAGATTTCCTCTTTGTATTTTTCATTTGAGTGTTTGCTCAAAGTTACCTACTTTTTGACTGGTAGTATAGGCCTTATAACAGATTCAAGCTTGTTAGAGTTTGTGGATAATTGCCCCAACTTAATTTCGCTATCGCTCCTATGTTTTATGCTAAAGGGCGCAATATTACAAAAATTAATTAAGGTATGGCTCCCCTAGTTTTGTTGTTATTTCTTTTCTTTTCATTTGGTATCATCTAATATGTTTTACAAAACCGATATAATATTGTGATGTTTTGCAGGGTTTTCGTCAACTGAAGTACATTAATCTGTCGAAGTCGCCTGAAATTAGTGGTTGCTTTTTCAGGTGCGTGTCGTTTGAGTAAATGTTAATGATGATATCTTTTTTAAGTCTTTGGTAGCAAATTATTTATGGCCTAAGGTTTTGTTGGTAGGGGTTTGGAACTTTGCTGCAAAGATAGTCCACTGGAGACTCTGATATTGCGCAATTGCTATACTCTAGAGGAGGTAAAGGATATAAAACACAACATGTTTTAAGTTTTGTTCTTCATTCTTAAAGTCACAGTCGTGAGTTCGCCTTGGAATTCAGAGAGAAGTTTTGCTGTTCTTGAATTCATTACTCGCCGGAGACTTCAAATCCATTCGGCTCATTGTAAGTTCGTATAGAATATTTGCTAGTTTTTGAACAAAAAAAAAAGATTTGCTAGTTTGTTCCGGAAATTTTTGTATGACCTAGAAACGTTTTTTAATCTTATAAATGCGTTCTTCTTTTTCTCCTTTAGGACGTATCAAACGTCAACGGTTTAGTTTGTGATGGGGGCAATAGAACTTTTGAACCAAGGTAACTAACTCCCTGATTTGTTGAAGTTTTTTTGTGTGAACGATTTGTTCATATTCTTAAATTTTTTTTTATATATATGTGACACTATTGTTTGCTGTAGATTTCCTATTGAGGAGCTGAAAAAACAAAGATCAGATGTCACATTAGTGGCAATTTTTGAATCACAATCATCATTGTCATCATCAAGGTTCATCAATAACTAGTTGTGTTTATTCGGCTTTCATTTTTTAGTACCGAAACTAATCGAATCCAAATAAATTTGTTTTTGTAATATCTCAGCTCAGGGGAGGTATATTCAGATGGCACCTCTTCTTGGAGTTCTGATTATAGCAGGGAGGAGGAAGAGCATGACATCGACTTGGACTCTATATAAATTCTAAGAGCAAGTCCAACGGTGGCCCTAAAGAGACTCTTAAACTATGAATCCTTAAGAAAAAAGCAAAAATTAAATTTAAAATGTGAATTAAGCTAAGGAACGTACCTAATCTTAGAGTTTTTTTTTGTCTGCAAGAGTTCCATACGTGTCAGTTTCTCATGATTTGTGGACTGAGAAAACAAATTAATTTTTTCTTTCCCGTTTCATTTCACGATCTCTCTCTCTTCTCTTGTGTTCTCCGAAGGCGACAGAGAAAGAACAAGGTCTCGATCATCATCATCCGACGGTGGATCATCAAATCGGAAGAGAAAATCCGAAGAAACTTGATTGTGTAAATCGTGATGAATTTGTTTTTTTTAGATGTTATCGAAATTAGGGTTTGTCGAATTGGGAATTGATGAAAGATAAATTAGGGTTCTTTGATGTAAACGCAATTAGGTTGCTTTGAATACATAATCAGTCTCTTTCTTCGTTATTAGACATGATTGAAGACGATTTTTTGCCTTTAGATTGTTTGTTTCCATTCGGATTTGATATCAAGTTGAATCTCTGTTTTGTATGTCTCTCTGTTTCTCTGAAGAAGAGCTAGACATAGGTATGGTCCACTTTTGATGTCCTTCCGTGATGCAATATTTGAGTTTGGCGTATGTCTCTGATCTTTTTCTTTTTGACGTTTTGAAGATGACATTGACATCGACGATCATCATCATAGTCAACAACAAGAGAAGCCTAAAGAACAAGGGATATTGTCACGGCTTAGTAAGCAGAAGATGGTGAATAGGTTTAGCAATTTCAAAGGTAAGCTGAAAAAGATGGCAACTAAGAATGAGAAGAGTGTTGTAACCAATGAGAAAAGCATGAGGAGAAGACTTTGTATGTCAAAATTACCTTTCATTTTGTTTTTCCATATTGCTAAACAATACTGTAAATACTTTCTTCAAAGTTATACAAGTGTGAGAGTTTTTCACAAGTTCTTTCGAAGATTAGACAATGGATAGTTGCATTATATAACAGAGCAGTGATCTTAATTTCAATCGCAATTTCATAACCAGTGATTCAGTTTCACCAAAGATGATAACAACATTGAATGCTTTAAGTAGGACCAAGACAACCACAACATCAGACCAAAACCAATATTCTCCTTCAGAGAATTATTTCCTTTTCACAAGTGTGTTGGAATTTTCACCAGTGATAGATAGAGAGCAGAATAAGCTTGCAAACACATGATATCATCTCATAAAATGTAGAATTGAAGCTCAAAGCGAAATCCAAAGCTAAAGACTAATCCTTATTCCGATTTTGATTTGTATTTTTTTATATATTTATGTTATGTATGTTTAAAATTTTAAGAAATTGTAATAACTATTAAGTTTTATCACATAAAAATAAAAAATGTTTCTAATTTTTCATTTTAAAAATAATGTTTTTTTTTAAAGAAAGTAAGAAACCCACTTAAGGACTCTACCATTGGACAAACAAATTTTTAAGGATTCATCAAAAACTCTTAACCTTAAAATTGTCATAATTTATGATTAAAATATGTTTAAGAATCCTTTTAAAGACTCAACCATTGTTGTTGCTCTAAGTCCCCCATAATTTTTTTCCGGTACCCAGAGAGGTCTCCGAGTATCTTGAATCGTTTGTCTTCTTCCTTCTAATCTTCTCCATTAATTGGTAGTTATGCTAATGGATTTGTCCACGAATTTGTGAAATCCGCCTTCTTATATTCATACAATCTCTTCCCAAAATCGATCAAAGAAACACGATCTCTTCAAATGTAAGAAACCTTCAAACTCCTTCATCTGATGCGACGATCTCTATACCAATAACAACCGGATCTTTCTGTTCAGATTCTGGATTTTACTCGGAATCTGAAGGAGGTCTAATATTTCTGGAGAGAAACAGCCGTCTGTTGCTCTAGCTTCAGAGCAGACGAACAAGGACTTAACGTGCCAAGGATGATAAGAAAAAGCAATTATGTTTCATAGTCTATGAGTGAGGAAGATGATCAGGAAATCTTCAGGCTTTTGACAAGAGCCTTGAAATTGAGAATCGGCCCCAAGTCTCCCATAACTCTTTTTTCTCGGTACCCTGAATCCCTGATTGTTTATTAATCAGAGAGGTCTCCCAAAAGTCCATATTGTTTCGTTCTCTCCGAGAATCTGAATCGTTCGTCTTCATCCTTCTAATCTTCTCCATTAATTGGTAGTCATGCTAATGGATTTGTCCAAGAATTAGTGAAATCCTTTTTTTTTTTTATGACAGGAGATCTCTTGCAAACCAAGGTAACTGATTGTTTAGATTGTTTACCATTTGACAACCAGTAATCAGAACTCTAATGACGCACCACGGCACCAGTTTATATGGCCATATTATTGTGTTGTAGGTTTCCTCTTGAAGAGCTTCATATTTTACATCACCATTATCTTTATCCAGTAATTCCTATTATAGCGGAGGAGCACTTTGCTGCTAATGAGAATGCTGAAGTTGGAAAAACCTTCCACTGTTGAACTAAAAGCTGAAGGCAAACTCGGGTTGTTCTTTGATAGGACCAGAGCTTTTCGGGAACCAATTGCTGTCACCCTCAACGTGACTGCGTATTACATATGGAATTGTTTCCACCATTTACGAGTCCATGACGCACATCCTCCAGACTAAGAAGACAGAGTTTAACAACAACACCAATATCACCAACCGACTCACGCAAGTTTCGAATCAACTCGCGACCGGGGCATGTATAACGACTTATCTCAAATTACGTGCTCTTATAATCACGGAATTCCCTGACCGGTACACTTCAGCTTATCTCAAAAGGCCAAAAGGAATCACATTCACGGACTTACCACCAGTAGTTGTTGCACCATTTGCTTTTGCAATTCAACAACTCGGTGCTGTCAACATCGCTAACCTCACTCATAAGGCACGTTATGTCCCAGTTCTCCCTCCTACAGGACATCAATACGGACTTCCGAATAACCAAATTTGGGACCCCAACTCCTACACACAAGCTGTGGAATATGGTAGAAACTTCGGACTCACTCCACTTTAATGTGGTTGATGCAGGTCCGGCTCACTCATCGGTAAGACCCGGTGCCATACAAAAAAAATCCTATCTTTAATAAAAAATTTATATATATATATATATATTTACAAAAAGTTATATTTCATAAATTATTTTGTATTTTATAGCTATTTGGACCTGTTATTTTTGTTTATTAATTTTGGGCCTCAATATTACCTTTTAAAATAGAATTTTGGGACCTTTACATATAGATATTTTATAAAATTTCAGCATAATTAAATAGTTAAATAATAGAAAAACTATGAATTTGGACCTTAAATTTGTTGGACCCGGTGCAAATGCACCACTTGCACATGCCAATAAACGGCACTGGGTTGATGTGAACCAGAAGACTGGTACCGCCTGGTGGTTACTAAGACAACACTTCTCTGAGGAAATGTTCGAGTTGAAGCTCCCGTTCCCGGAGGCCAACTACACTTCTGCGATGGCCGTGACACACTCAACTCTTCCTGCTCAAGACGGACCACGTACGGAGAGCTTGACCCATCAAATGCTATTTTCGATCTCGTCCCTTATGGAGAATCCGACTACAGTTACATATTACGTGACCCTCTTCCTGGCATCAACGTCACGACGTTCGTGACCATTGATGAAAGCGCGAGACACATAGTTTCTAACGTGTAACTTTTTGAACCCACTTGAGACCACATTAGGAAACTAGGTGTGGGCAAAAAACCCTCACCAACCGAACCGATATAAATGATTTGGTTTGGTTATGGTTTAGCCTAAAAACCCATTTGATTGTCATTTTTATTAAGCTTTCAGTTTAGATTTGGTTTAGTTAAAAAACATAAAACCGAATCGTTTTTTTTGGTTTTTGATTAAAATTAAGGATAATTATATTGTTTCATTCTCCTCTAACAAACGTTTGACTTTAAAACGCAGCGGTTCTCACGTCTCTTGGGCTCCCAAACGCAGCGTTTCACATCTAGTTTCCCAAAACGCAGCGTTTTACGTGTGGTTTCTAAACGCTGCGTTTATTATTTGGTGTGTCTTTAAATTGAAAAGAAATTTTCACGTTTAGTGTGACATTGACTTTTTCTCTCACGGTTTGGCAAAGTCAAAAAATTTTTCCATAGAATAGCAATTATGTATTTTTAAGACAAAAATACCTTTGTAACTGTGTTGATTTAGTTGCTTCTACAATCAAACTACGTGAACGAGAAGAAGATGATATTTTTGTTTCTTTTACTTAAATATATATATATATATATAAAATATTCAGATTCACAAAAAAAAAAAATCAGAAAACCAGAAATTAAGAGAAAAGAAACAAAATAACTAGAGAACAAAGAATGGTTGTTCTTTATTTAAAATCGAAGGAAAATTTGTAATGAATCTGAAATTTCATGGTGAAATAATTGATTTTGATTCATTATCAAGTAGAGAGATTAGAGTTAAATGGATTAAGAAATTTCCAGCAAGTTGGAAGAAATGACAGAAATTAGTGAGAAAGCAAATGTTCTTCCCACGTAATTGACTTAACTGTGGATGTCAGATTCACACACTCAAGTATTTTTGTTAAGTGGGAAAGATTATTCTTGAGGGACAAAAATGAATATATAAAAACTTGAAAATTGATACGAAAATTGTTATATTATTTCCCTTTCGAGAGGAAGATCCCCTTTACATGGCCATCGGCCTCTATATTTATACACCGATAAACGACATTAAAATGAGTAATTAAGCACAAATATTTCTTCTTAAATGTGTCCGTTTTGATTCTCCGGCTTTAATGCTCAACGTTTGAATTTGAGTTGACTCTGATCTTCATGGGCCTCGCCTCTTTCGGCCCAAGTGTCCGTAAACCGACTTACCCGTGTCTTCTACACCGAACTCGTGTCACAGTGTAGTCACTTTGGATTCTCGAAATGGTGACAACCACTTCGACCGTCCCTTCGGCTCACGGGTCCAATGGGCTTCATCCTTTATGGGCCATTATCTTGATCACGTGGCAATCTTTGGTTGGTCTCGTACTTCTGGTGCGGGATCCGACACCAACAATTAGCCCCCCAAGTTCTTCGAAGTGCTATTCCAGTTCGGAGGACTTTAAATGCTCAAGTGGCCAAAGATTGCGTTCGAGAATCTTTCTGATTTCCCGCCGAAAATCCCATCACTCCTTTAATTTTGGCACTATCCATTTTTAACCGAGTGACATCTGTCATCATTATGACCGTATATTGATTAATTACTATTAAAACCGGAAAAACCTTCCCACTTCCCACACGACTTCCGAGGCGGTTTCATCATTAGCTTGAGGTAACTTCTTTTCACCATTACTCTCTTCTTTTACTTTTGTACTTTAATCAAAACCTCTCTCTTCGTTCCTTCACCAAAACCCTTCTTCGCCGGATCTTGAATTTTTCTTTCTTCCCAATGACTTCTGATTCCGATAGACCCGAATCTCCGTCTTTTGACGAGAGGCGTTCTAGTAACGACGAGTGCACCCGTCCTGGTGACATTGCCGGTCCGCACTATAGGTCCACTTGTACTCTTCAATCCCTCGAGCGATTGAGAGAGCTTTGCCGGATTCCGCCGGAAATTATGGCGGAAGCACAAATAGCTTCCCCCACAGAATCCCCAGAGAACCATCGCGATGGTTACTTCTGTGTGTATGAGATTTATTTCAAGGGTTGCGGGCTTACCTTTCCTCTTCCCGAAGCCCTAATTTTATACCTAGCGGCTCTTGAAATCGCTCTTCCTCAATTAACCCCCAATCTTCTCCGTACAATTCTTGGAATTATAACAATCGCGGCGGAGGCCGGTTATGTTATCGGAGTTGCTG